ACACACACACACACACACACACACACACACACACACACACACACACAAATTTCATTCATTGTATTTTTTATCTCCAAGATATGTGTTTAATTTTTTTAAAAAAATATTTTATCTGTATTAAATTTCTGTGATAAATTTCTGTATTTTTCAAGTTTGGAAAAACTTTCTTAAAACAATTACTTTGAATTCTTTGTCAGGCAGTTATCTCCATTTTATTAGGATCGGTCATTGGAACCTTTTCTCCATTTGATGATGTGATGTTTCCCTGATTCTTCTTGATCCTTGTGGTTGTTCCTCTATGCCTGTATGTTGAAGAATTAGGTGAATGTTCTTCAACAGCATTTCCTGAGTCTGTGACCATTGCAGCTGATGCAGTCTTGTGGGGGCCTTAAGCCTAGGATTGCCATGACTAGTGAAGGTGAGGCTGATAATTCCTGAACTGGATTTGTGTGACCATTCAGGCTGATCCAGTGGAGGAGGTGGGAGGACTGGGGTTGGGGGCAACTAAAGCCCATGTCTACTTGGATATGGCTGCTGCTGAGTTTGTATGGAACTCAAGCCCTTTGCAGTAATTGGCAGGATATGGGCTAGAATGCAAGTCCATTTCCTAGGGATTATGCATTCCCATTTGGTGCCAGGGGATCAGAAAGACTGTCCATGGGTACAAGTGTGGAATGAGGCTGTGAGAGTCTGTCTGATGCTGGATTTTTACTCTGGAAGGCCCAGTATTGGAGTTCAAGACAGAGTCCTAAGCTTACTTTCCTCTCCTTCCGCTAAGCAGATGATATCTTTTTCTGTGCGATGTTGCCTGGGATTGAAGAAGCAGTGACATAGATAATGTAAAAGTGTTCTTCTACCTTTTTTCATCTTTGTTATTTTTATGCTATAACTAGAAACTGTTTTGGGATGGGTTATGGAACCTTGCAGGAAGTCTAAATTTGGATTCTATGCCCTTCTGTGGCCCAGGTCTGGAGTTTGATTTTTATAGGCATCTCACTCTGTTCACACAGTATCAACGAGGGAGATGTAAACTTTCTTACTGATTCTCAACAAGTGTGTGAGTGGAGCTCTTTTTCACATTCCTTTCATATACCGAGCAGCCCCTTTCAGGAATTTGTCTCAAAATGTGAATTTAACATCTAGTGTTTTCCTGGGCATTTCTGTCTGTGTAGGCCCTACCCTATAGACTGCTTTGATGTCAGCTGGAGCTTACATCTCTGGTTTGAGTTTTTCCCTTTCTGGCATCTAGGAATTTCCCTCTCCTTTCATCCTTTTTGAATTTAATTATTTGTTCTAATTTTTCATATTAAGCTGGCATTTCAATGAGTGTATTTGAGCACATGGATGAATATTAGTCCAGTCTGCCTTTTTGCTTGAATCATACATCTAATAAACTATTCCGTAGTTTTTTCCTGCTTTGTTTCATAAAAAGGCTTTGAGGTTGGATTATATTAGTCTTTTTTGGGGGTACTGGGGATTGAACTTAGGACTTTACGCTTATTAGGAAGATTCAACACCATTGAGCTAAATCCCTGGCCCTATATTAGTCTCTTTTTGAAAATATTATTTATTTTTTAAAAAGGATGATACATGCACACAATCTGAAATGGGAAGAGTGAAAAAGGCTATATGTATCTTTGCCCTGTTCTTGTACTCAACCCACCCCAGTTTCTTATGTGTTCTTCTCAATTACTAGTTTCTTATGTGTTCTTCTCAAGATTGACCACACGTTATTTTATTCTTAAACAGAATTTTAAACTTTCACCTACTGTTTATGCTTTAATTTTGTAGCCAGTATTCAGAATTTTTCTATCTGTGATATGTAGCAATTGTATTTTCTTCTGCTACGGAGCTTTTAAGTTAGCATGTCACTTTTATGTTTTATGTATATGAATGAATTATCTGTGTTTTAATTTTTGTTCAGTTCAGAAAGTCCTCAAAATATGAAAGTATGACAAAATAATATAAACTATTGATTGACAAACAGTATAAACTATTGATTAGAAATTTTAAGTTATGTGGAATTTAAAATAATGGAAATCTAGCTCTAATTTTTGGGAAGTAGTAGAAGTGATGCTTTAAGATACTAGAAATCTGATTGAAACATTTGTGGATTTCTTTTAAAATAACCAAGGCAGGGGCCAGGGATTAGCTGAGTGGTTCTGTTGCCTGCCTCACAAGCACAAGGTCCCGAGTTCAATCCCCAATACAAAAAAAAAGCCAGTGCATGCAGTTATTTTCATATGTGAAAATTGCCCAAAGTGAGGAGGTCTCTCAAAGATAAAGGTCTTCCTTTTGGATCCTTAACCACAGTTTATATTATTGATTGCCTAATTGCAGTTTGGTGATATTCAGTAACATGGAGGGAAGAAATGGAAGCCTATGACCTGATATGTTTTCTTCCTTAGATCAACCTCTCCACTTCTCCTACACCTGCGCAGTTAATAAGCCGTTCCCAGGCTTCCAGTTCTACCAGCGGCAGTATTACCCAACAGACTATGTTACTAGGGAGTACCTCCCCTACCCTAACGGCAAGCCAAGCTCAAATGTATCTCCGAGCTCAAATGGTAAGATAAGAAGTACCAAAGTTTTTCAGTGTGTAAGGATGTAAATGATCAAAATATTTCTTGTTAGGTACACTGAGACATAAAGAAATACTTAAGAAATATTTGATAGTTTTTTTTTGTGTGTGTATATGCTCACCTCTTGTACATTTATGAATGTCATGAGCAATTCTATTTTGAATCAGTAGGCCTTCTTGGTAAATATTAATAATCCACCTTTGGAAACTAATAGAGATTCTGTAACATAAAAGGATTATTTTTTAATATTAAGTTGTATCAATTTCAAAGCCTTTTTTCAAGTCAGGTAGGTTGATTTGTGCCTGTAATCCATGCTACTTGGGAGCTTGAATCAGGAAGACTGCAAGCTCAAGGCCAATTTGGGCAATTTAGTGAGACCTTGTCTCAAAATAAAAATAATAAAAGGAGGCTGGAGATATAGCTCAGTGGTAGAGCACTTGCCTAGCATGGTCAAGGGGTAGCTTCTGCCAAGTACTGTAAAGATAACCCCCAAACACCTTTTTCCTCCTACATTTTAACATCTCTGAAGTTGAAGTATATGTTACAATTGATTTATGTTACAGTTACAGTAGCACTTATAGTTCAGCATAATATTGTATACTTTTGATATCTTAGATTTGACAGAATAGTGAGAAATGTTAAAAACTTAGTTATTAACTATTAGAATTTATATCCTGTGACTATGTCATAATATCTGGATTGGCATTCCTGATATTTGATGCATAATTCGTAGCTTTGATTATTCCCATCTCACAGTCTATAAGGTTGTGTTTTTATGCATTTTGTTTTTTTAAGTATATGAATGTTGGTTTGGTTATTTAGCCTGAGTAGGTTATTTATCCTAAGTTTGTCTTCTAGTGCTTTTGAAGCTGAGAGATACGTAATATATTGTGCAGTGTATTTACCCTTGCATTGAAGATGACTGAAGAGACTTTTTGGTGTTTTTCTTTCCATGTTTTTCACTGCAATTTAATTTGTGCCGCAAAATAGTGACTGTGGTTTTCTATTTTTAGCTCTTTATTTTTAAGAATACTAAGACAGTAGTTTTGAGCTGGGAGAGCTTCAAGTATAATAGCTTATTTAGGACTTAAATTGGGCCTGAGCATTTCATATTACCAAAGTATGTTTTCTTCTTGAAGGATTGATTTATTTTTCTACTCATTAGAATCCTGAGATGTTTCAGAACTGTTTATGATTTTTTGAATTCTCTCTTATCAGAAACTTCTTTGTCATGTAAAATGTTTTTTGCTTAGGATGCAGCCCTAAACTGCATTGTCTTTCTGTCACAGATTTCAGTCTCTCTTGCTTGCTATACATTGTGTGTGGGACCTTCTTGAAGGATTGATTTATTTTTCTACTCATTAGAATCCTGAGATGTTTCAGAACTGTTTATGATTTTTTGAATTCTCTCTTATCAGAAACTTCTTTGTCATGTAAAATGTTTTTTGCTTAGGATGCAGCCCTAAACTGCATTGTCTTTCTGTCACAGATTTCAGTCTCTCTTGCTTGCTATACATTGTGTGTGGGACATGTTCTTTTGTCTTATTTTTTTTTTTTTGAATTCTCTCTTATCAGAAACTTCTTTGTCATGTAAAATGTTTTTTGCTTAGGATGCAGCCCTAAACTGCATTGTCTTTCTGTCACAGTTTTTTTTTTTTTTTTTTTTTTTTGCTTTTCTGTCTGTACAGCTGATTTTCACACCCGCTACCACTGTGGCTGCTGTACAGTCTGACATTCCTGTTGTCTCGTCGTCATCGTCATCTTCCTGTCAGTCTGCAGCTACTCAGGTGAGCTTGTCTAGCTTCATAATGTGGTAACTGAGGTCTGGGTCTTCAGGTTAAAGATAAGCATTGTATTTATATTTCAGTGACTGATGGCCCTAGAACTCTTTTTCATGCATTTCAAATAAAAATTTTGTAAAATACAATGAGACTTAAAAAAAATATTTTTGCTTTATAGAATTATAATACAGTTAAACACAGATATTTAGGTTGATGTCCACATAAAGACATATAAACGAATGTTAAGTTTAATGAAGGTTTTACTAATGACATTGTATTTTTAGTTTTATTTTAGAGCAGATTTCTCGTACTGTGTGAGATGTGTTTTTTTGGTGTGTGGATTGCTTTGCAAACGATAATAAATAAGTCAGGTGGATGGTGAATTAAATTGGGCAAAAAATATTTTTTTGAAGGAAAGCTTTATTTTGACACAAAATTGAGCAAATTTTAAATTAAAAAGTTAAGTATAGTAGATTTTTATTTGGTATATGGAGAAAATAAACTTGAACTTTCTCATCATACCATTCATAAAAATAAATTAGAAGTAAATTGTGGATCTAAAGGTAAAAGCAAAACTATTAAAGTTCTGGAAGAAAACAGGAATATATCTTTGCAACTCTAGGGTAGGCAAGGCTCCTTAGGACACAAAACAGCATTACCCATAAGAGAAAAAAAATGACATATTGGATTTTATAAAAATTAAAAACTGTTCTTTAAAAGATACCATTACAAATTGAACAAGCAGGCCACAGGCTAAGGAAAAATATTCTGACAATAAACTTATACCGAGAATATATATAGTATGATTATAATACTTCATTTAATATTACCATAAGCATACCAGTTAAAAATAGGGAAAAATTTGAAGAGAGACTAGACAAATGACAATATAAAAAAGGCCAATAAGCACCTCAACAAATACCATAAATCATTACAGAGATGCAAACCAATGAGCTGAGATGTAGTGGCACATGCTTGTAATCCTAGCACTCAGGAGGCTGAAGCAGGAGGGTTGCATGAGGTTGAGGCCACCCTGAATTACAGAGTGAGACCCTGTCTCAAAAAAAAAAAAAGAAATGCAAATCAAAAGTAAAATGAACATCACCGTACACTAGAATGGCTGAATTAAAGAAGACTCATAATACTGTATTTGTAAGAATGTGGAGCCTTTGTGGTGAGAGTATAAAATGGTACAACTAGAAAAATCTTACAATTCCTTATAAAGTTAAATATACACTTACTATGTGACCTAGAAGCTCTACTGCTGAGTATTTACCTTGAAGGATATCAAAATACACATCTGTGTAAAGCCATGTAGACAAATATTCATAGCAGTTCAGTTCAGAATAGCTCCACTGTTCTGGCTTGTATTTAGATATTCCCCCAAAGCCTCATTTGGTCATAGGTAGGGCTTGTTTAGAGGTGGTTGGATCTAGAGTTTGTGATTGATTCATGGTGCAATGCTAGGATTAAGGGTGTGAGTACTATCTGTCCTGAGGACATGTAGCCTGTATACAATATAAGGGAAAGAAAGGGGCTTGCTGTTAGTTACTTGTAGTTTGTCTCTTGCTGCTTGCCTCCTGCTTGCCATGAACTGTTCTCCTCTGAGGTGCCCATCTGCCATGGCACCCTACTGTGGAGCTAGCCGACTAGGTACTGAAACCTCTACACACTGAGCCAAAATAAACTTTCTTCCTTTAACTTTGGGTGTCGAGTATTTTGTCTCAGCAACGACATCCACGCTTGAAACAATGAAATGTCCTTTAAATGCTGAAAACAAATTTAAATGCTGATAAACAAATTGTGGTATATTCAGAAGTAAAACAGTACACTACAGAACATCTCAGAAACATGTTTAGCAGAGACACTAGACAAATAGAGTCTATCTTCTGTCATTCCATTTATGTGATACTCTAGAATAGGCAAAACTATCCGTAGTGAAAAAATCAGATTACTGTTTAGACTGCATCTAGAAATTGATATATTTACTAGATCATTTTTGACCTTTTTATTTTTATTTATTTATTTATTTTATTTTTTGGTATGGGGATCGAACTTGGGACCTTACACTTGCAAAGCAGGTGGTGGAACCACTGAGCTAAATTCCCAGCCCTTTGCCCTCTTTTATTTTTCATTTAATATCTCAATCATTTGGTAAAAATAAATTAGTAATAACATTATATGGTATTTTTCATAGAATGTCTCGTATTTAGTCATAAATGCTAATTTTCATGTATTAGTGTATAAGATGCTGATCAGTTGAATTTAGGTTTCTCTTAACTTTCTCTGTAACCCTTCCATAATTCCTTGACAGAGTCACAGATAGCACTCACTGTTAATTGTTTTTATTACTATACTACTTAACCCTCAGCTCAAAGTTGTTGTAAAGAATAAATGAGACAATAATGGAAAAGGACTTAGCATAGTTCCTGCCATATAATAAGATAGCACGTGCTACTAATTACTATTTTTGTTCTACGTTGTCTGAAAAGTCACAAGTTTGATTAATGGCTTTCGAGTAGCTGTAGTGAAGAGAAACACAGCCATTTAAAGGATTTACAGTTTCCAAGGCAAAATAAATGAGTTGCTTAGGAAAATAAAACATTTCTTATATCCTTTCTAAAGCATGGTTTGCTTATGAGTTTTCATGAAGAAAACATCTTTAAGGTAATATAGTCAGTTTGTAAAAGTGGTCTTCAGTGTCTACTTCGTTGTGGTCTATGTATGTGGTTCTATGATGATCTCAGTTTAAGGATGGATTTCCGAGGAACTAGAGGAATGGGTTGACCGTTGGTAATCTGTTAACGTTGCTAAGACACAATACCGGACACTCACAACCTGAATAATTTGCTCTTGGTTTCAATCCCTGATGGGCTGGCTCCAGAGAGACATCATAGCAGAAGGACGTAGTGCAGCAACACTGCTTAGTTTATGGTGCCTGGGGCCCGGAGAAGAATGCCATGACCAAAAGGGTAAAGGTTCATAGATCCCCAAGGCCATGCCTCCAAGACCCACCCAGACACACATAGAACTGTGGCCCATCAGTGCCTTGGGTACATCTCAAAGCCAAAGAAGATGATAGTCTACCCCAAATGCTACAGAATCTCCCTACCAGTGTTTTCCCTTGCAGTGAATGAGGCTGGCAAGTGATAGGTGATGCTAATGCCTTGTGACTGTAGGGGTAACTTCAAGTTTGGGACTATTAGTTTTGAAACATTTCTGTTCTAATTTGTTGATTTTTAAAACTATGTTTGCAATTTAAAAAATATTTGTAATTGAAAAACACCAAATTTGAAGTTTTATTTTCAAAGTCTTTAAACTACAGAAGTCAGTGTAACAGTTAATTATTTCTCAGGACTAAAAAGTTTTTATAGCATATTGTAAAACAGTCCAAAAGAAATTGGAATGTCTTACCCTTATTTTATTGTTTTAAATATTCCAAGCTGGGTGTGGTGGCACATACCTGTAATCCCAGCACTTGGGAGGCTGAGGCAGGAGGATCGCTGTGAGTTCGAGACCAACCTGGGCTACATAGTGAGTTTCAGGTCAGTCTCAACTACATAGTGAGACCCTATCTCAAAAAACCCAAAAAAACAAAACAAAACAAAACAAAAAACTCCAGCCATTCTTCTCATTATGTGAAAATGAGGGAAAAAGATTTCCAGAAATATACCAAAGAATATAAAAAGTATTTTTATAGAAGAGTAATAAATCTTACATGTCTAGGGTAACTAGGGAATGCTGTTAGACTGAGGAAAAATTAGCCTTTGGGATTTATAAGCTAGAAACTGAGCTGTACTGTCACTACTGTTACATTGCCTCATCGTTTCTTCATCTGCAGAGAAGCAATGCTCTGATAATTTCTGTAGTACTTGTTTGATTCATGTTAAATAACCAATGTGAGAGTACTTTGGCATTGGGGGCTCAACTTTAAAATATGAACTGTGAAATTAGCAAAAATACCTCATGCAAAATGTAGATTTGTTTGAAAGTAAGGAAGTTTCTACAATTTGACCATGGGAAAGGCTTAGGTGAAATGAAAATTGGGTAAAAGAGTACCTTAATGTTCTTTAGTTTAGAAAAGATGAATTTTGTTTCCTCAAATTTGAGGCTGTGTTAAGGACATTGAATATATGATCTCTTATCAGGTAAACTCACTTTGTAATATACTTTGGCAGCACAGTTCACATAGTTGGGATTTATTAAAACAGTGTCAAAATTTAAGCTGAGATGACCACAGACATAGTTATATTCTAAAATTTACATAGTCATATAAATAATATACATCACATATACATGCAGACATACATCTTTCAGAATCTCAGAAAACAACAGGAAAATTAGAAATTCTGTAGTATTCTATAGAAATGGATATGGTTTGGGTTTTAGGGTTCATTATATCAAATCTTTACTGTGAATATGTTTTTAAATATTTGAAGGGATGCTTTCTAGTTTTCAGATTGTTTACTTTTTGTAAACTATTCTTTACTATTGTAACAGACTGTTATGTAGTCTGAAGATCATTCATGGCAAATGTTAAATTCTGTATTGAATATCTCTTTTGGGAGATTTTAATGTGCCTTCATTCAGATAATTGTTGAGTTCTTTTTAATGTGAATAGATTTTAATGTTAACCAAAGAAACCATAAATAGAATTTAGTACCCACTAAAAACACATATAATATATATTTCAAAATCAGATAATAGGAGAATATTGCAGACTTGTGAAGCTTCAAATATGTTTGTAGAACTGAATGTTGGGGCTCACAGAAATAAATATGAGATGTGCGAGCCTTTGAAACAGAATCTCAGTCTTATAGGCACATACATTTGTAATTCTAAAGCAAGGTCATTGTGCTGTAGGCCAGTATGACGCAAATTCTATGGAAAAAGTCCTTCTGGGAGTTGGAAACTCTTTTCATTTTTTAAAAAATTTTTTTGGTTCTTTTGAGAAAGTGTTTCACTATGTAGTTGAGACTGACCTGGAACTCACTATGTAGCCCAGGCTGGTCTTGAACTCACAGCAATCCTCCTGCCTCAGCCTCCCGAGTGCTGGGATTACAGGCGTGAGCCACCATGCCTGGTGGGAACTCTTTTCTAACCAAAGACTTTGGGAGTGTTTTCTGGGAGGACGAGTGGTATTTCATTGGAGCTGAAAGAATAAATTAGACTTCAGGAGATAGCTTTGAGGAATAATGACATATAGTTAAGAGCATCTTGAGCAGGAGCTCCAAATGAAGTAAGTGCAAGGTATGAAACAGTTTTGGCAAGAGTGAGAACTGGGGGGCTGGAGGAATGGAAAGTGGTGTACAAAGTGATCTTTGGCTAAGATTATGGAGGGCTTTGAGTAGCAATCTGAGAAATGTCTTTTAATACATTTTATTTTTTATTAAACTTTAATAATGTATTGGTCATTTGTGTTTGTACTGATGCAAAATATTTGAGAAAAATCACAGAAGATGCTCCATATGGTACCATGTAGAAAATTCTTAAATTGAAATGATTAAAACTTTGATTTGCCTGATGTGAACATTTATTTATGAAGTACCTGGTAGTGACTGAATATTATACATTTGGCACTTACTTGGACAGAGAAAGTACAACCTTTGAGCATCAGTTAATGATGTAACTGTAGCTGGGCATGGTGGCTCATGCCTGTCATCCCAGCACTCGGGAGGATGAGGCAGGAGGATTGATGTGGGTTCAAGACCAGCCTGGGCTACATAGTGAGTTCCAGGTCAGTCTCACAACATAGTGAGACCCTGTCTCAAAAAACCAAAAAAAAAAAAGTAACTGTAGCCACAAAATATACATAAACTGAAGAACAATTATAAAGCAGCAGTGTATTATTTCCTTTTTTACTTTGGGATCTTTTTTCATTTCAATTTCCTTCCCAGAGCCTGTGTTAGCTACACATATATTTGGTACATTTATTCCAGATAAACAAGAATTTAGGCAGCTTTTGGTGAAGCTTTATTGGCCTTGCTGTTTAGAAATGTTTTACATCTCAGATGAAAGTAGTTGGGATAATCCTTGCCCCATTCACTTATAGAGGATTTACAGTAGTCCCAGATATAGCCAGGAGCCATTCATTGCACAAAACCATTTCAAGACCATGCATGCATGTTTTTTCAGTTAATGAGAACTAGTTCTCAAAGACAATGAGTGTTCAGTAACAACAAAATTTAATTAGATTTTAGAAGTTTTCTAAAAATGCCTTTCATAAGTATTACAGTGAGACAGGTGATTTGATGAATTAATTTTTTCTTAAAAGATTAGTGTTCCCTTGCAATCTCTATAGGTAAAGCTAGTCAATTTTAATTCCTTGTGTTGCTAAGTAATTTTTCTCATATTCATAATCCATTTGTGATCTCTCTCTCTCTGCCTCAACACACACATACATATACTCATTTTGTTTTCTTTTAGTTCTTCATGATTCATCCTTTCCTCTCCTCCCACCTTTTCTCGCTCCTGTCCTTACCCCATCCCTGCCTTGTCTTTGCCCCTTCCATCTTTTTTAAAGTTCCCACCTATTTAAGAGGGACACTTAGAATAGTAATTTTCCCATTCTTCAGGATTAATCAGTTATTTTAAGTGCTAGGAGTTTTACAGGTGAACAGTATAATATTATAACTATATTGTCATATTTTTATAATAATTATAATGATTACCATATCAACTAAAACCATTTGTTTTCATCCTTATTTTCTGTTATGTGATTCTTAGGTTCAGAATTTAACATTACGCAGCCAGAAGTTGGGTGTGTTATCTAGCTCACAGAATGGTCCACCAAAAAGCACTAGTCAAACTCAGTCATTGACAATTTGTCATAATAAAACAACAGTGACCAGTTCTAAAGTCAGCCAACGAGATCCTTCTCCAGAATGTAATAAGAAAGGAGAGAGTCCAAGTCTGGAATCACGAAGCACAGCTGTCACCCGGACATCAAGTATTCATCAGTTAATAGCACCAGGTGGGATAAATAAAACTTGTTGAAAATAGTTGTATTATTCATTTTCTTAGCAGTTAGAGCAAAACAGAGGATGTCTTCTATTTGAACATGAATGACTTTTCAAAAGTATGTTAAAATGTGAATTTCATAAGTTAAAAAAAAGAACATCTCCCTATGTGGCATGAAAAATGAGATTTTAAAAGCCTAGTAGCTAAAACAAATTATAACAATAAAACAGGTGTTTTTTTGTTGTTTGATTAACATTTCATTATATGCTTGTTTCTTTATATTGATAAACCTTTTAGCTTTAAAATACTATTTACCTATAGTTTATTTAATGTTATAGTGGAACAAATGAAGAAACTTGTTTAAAAAAAACCAAGTTTATATATTTGTTTAAAGTCATCAGTGGGAAGAATTTGTCACTTTCTAAAAATAAGAATTATGCAAATACAGAAAATTATATTGCTTACTATGTTGTTTTTCTCATTTCTGATAGCATCTGAGGAAGATGTCAGGGAATCAGTTATATTATTAAGCTTTCAGGTCCACCTGTGCTTTTTCTTCCTTCCTCAGGTACTTTGCCTATGGTTTTATATGTATTGAAAATGTTGGGGCCATCCTTACTCATCTCTTGTATAGAATTTGTCAAGATTAAGCTTTCTTTACTTTTAATAAGATAAGATCTGCTTTCCTCTGTGTGGTGTGATTTGAACCCAGGTCCTTGGGCATGATAGGCAAGCACTCTATAGCTGAGCTATATTCTCAGCCCTTTCTTAAAAGTTTTATTTTGAGACAAGATCTTTCTGGCCTCAAACTTGGGATTTTTCTGCCACTGCTTCCCATATAGATGGGATTACAGATGTGTGTCACCATGTCCAGCATCTGATTTCTTCTTAGTACCATTTGCTAATGTCATTGATTCCACTCTTTTTTTCTTTTACTTGGTTCTGACTTTAGTAGTTATTGTAGTATCTTTTTTCTTCTTTTTTTTGAACCGGGGATTGAACTCTGGTCAAGGCAGGCCACCGAACCACTGAGCTAAATCCCCAGCCCTCTTTTGTCTTCTTATGTTGATTCTTTTCCTTTGCTTCTCAAGAATACTTAGATCTCCTCTGTCCTTAATATATCAGCATATGTTTTTGCACCAGTATGATATTGTGTGTGTGTGTGTAAGTGTGGGGGATGTATTGAACTAGGCACTTCACATACCGTTCATTAAAAATCTTTCTTTGTTCCAACAACCTTGGCAGGTAAGCATCTTCTTTCTATTCTTTTATGACTCTGTTTTACTTTTAATGATTTGTTTCACGTTACTGAAACCTGCTTTTTTCCAATTTAAACCTATTTCTCTTTTCATGTTTTCTCTGTTAGTATTGCCAACATCCTCTGCTTCTCTGCCTCTCAGGATCTTGGCACTGATTCCTATAGTTAGGAATTACACCTCACTTTGAACTTTTGTATCATTTTATGCTCATATTGTTCTTTTTAAATTATTTGTATACTTAATTGATTTTAAAGGGTAGAGGTGTGCAGTATATATATTTGATGGATTAATAGGTTTTTTCCATTTGAATTATGGAAATTATAACAATACTTTCTCATTAGCTTTTAATTAGGTATCACATTAGTTGAACTCTTGGATCTGATTCTTAGAGAAGTACTATAGGCTTTGATATAATGTTATAAATTAGTAAACCCATTTATAGTCTATATAGATGGGCTTCATTTTGATGAACATCTGTATCCCAGTCTTTCCTCTCTGTATGGCTTGATAACTCCAGAGTGTTCTCACTATACAGTGTGTTCTGTCTTTTTTTCTTGATACTGGAGATTGAACTCAAGACCTTGAGCTTGTGAGGCAGGTGTGTTACCATTGAGCTAAATCCCTGGTCCTTGTGATTTAAGTCTTAAACCAGCATCTGGCCAGTGTTGACAGTCAGGGTAGAGCAGCAGTGACTCACTGTAGTTTGAATGACTGTTTTGGTGACAGTATGTAGTGATTCTTGTAGTTTTTGATAGATTATAGTGAAGAGTAGATTAATTTCTTTTTTTTTTTGGTACTGGGGATCGACCTCAGGACCTATGCTTGTGAGGCAGGTGGTGGCACCACTAAGCTAAATCCCCATCCCTAGATTAACTTCTTTTGGTAAAAATGTATTTTCAGAGAAAGCTGGGAACTTGTTTTCAGATTTAGTTTGAGCAAGGAGATCTACTTTTGGATTTTTCAGTTCCCCTTAACGAATACCTGGTTCCACGTTGAAACTTATTCTTCCCTCTTTTGTTGATAGTGTGATAATATCCTCATTGTTTGCCTGCCTTTGATGGGCAAGGCAGCATTTTATATAGGTATAAAGGAGACAAGTAATCTAACCAACAGAGACAAGAGTTAATTTCAGTTCCAAATTAAGATTTAATTATATCAGTCAAACTCAAGTTTTATGTGATATTGTTGATTAGAAACAAAAGCAGAGGGAACACAGTAAACCACATAAACCTTTGCTGGTACCAGATTTACAAGGCTGTTTAAGCCTTATAACTTCATGTATTCAAATAAATTCATATCTTTTGGCAAGACCACATCTATTTGTTGTACTTTTGAGTTTCTCTCCTTTTATTAGTGGGAAGTTAATCTGAAGCTGAGATACTTTGAGTGATTTTAGATTACTCTCTCTCTTTTTGTTTTTTGTTTTTTGTTTTTTAAAACAGGGTCTCACTGTATAGTTGAGACTAACCTGGAACTCACTGTGTAGCCCAGGCTGGTCTCGAACTCCTAGAGATCCTCCTGCCTCAGCCTCCCGAGTGCTGGGATTACAGGCGTGGGCCACCACACCCAGCTTCTTTGAGTGATTTTAGAATTGGTAATTTGTCCTTTTCCTCAACTGGAGCTGTCATTTAAAATATTTGAAATATCTCCTTTTATTCTAATGTAGTATAGTCCAAGAATTATTATATAGAGACATGGCCGTTGTGCTAAGATAACTTGGTTTTTATTTCCATTTTTACTTAAAGGTAGAGTTTCTAACTGTTAATGATTCTGTTTTTAATACATAAGATAAAGGTAAATTTAAACCAATGGAAATCATAATCTACATTAAAGGGGAAAAGTTTTTAAACAGTATCTATCAACAGATCAATCAGTCATTGGGGTAGGGATTGAATCTAGGACCTTTGGCCTGACCTATGTACCCAGCCCTATTTATTTTGAGACAGGGTCTAAGTCACTAAGTTACCCAGGCTAGGTTCCAGTTTATTATGTTCTTACTAAAGCCTCCATAGCACTTGGATTACAGGCATGTGTCAGCACACTCAGTTTAAAGCAATTTTTAAAGCTTTTCTAACTAGTGTAATTGGAAAAAAATACATATAGTTTTTGTAGACATTAGTTGAGTATGTAGTAAGAAGACTCTTTATTAGTCTGCTGTAGATAACATAACAAAATACCATACAATGGGTAGCAGAAAGCCCAAGATTAAACTCTGGCAATATTCAGTTTTTGTTGAGTCCTCTGTTTTTGCCTTGTGGATAGGCACTTCCTCGCTGTTATGTTCACATGGACTTTCTTTCAAGTGTGCAGTGGAGGAGCTCTCTGAGCTCTTAACAGTATACAAAAATCAATCATGTCAGGGCTCTACCCTTATGACCTCTTTTAACATTAATTCCTTAGATGTGCTATCTCCAAAGACAGTCACACTGGGGTTAAGGCTTCAACATAGGAAGTTTGTGGGCTGGGGCACACACTCCATACAAATCCCTAGTTATGGGTTTTTAAAGATACCTCACTGTCCTTTGATACTCAGTGATTTCTAGGAAGTCATTTAACTATTCAGTTTGTTAATTTGTAATAAGTTGGATTATATAGTATCACATGGACCTCATGGATTTGTTATAACTATTGAACAAAATAATATATGTGGTGGTAAATAATAATTTTTAAAAAATATATATGTATGTGTGAAAGACATGATGTCAATCATTAATTCTGCAAATATAAGGCTACCTTTGCAATTATAAAATGTTCAAAATAAAAAATTCAGCAGTATGACATGATTCTCTAGCGTATTGGGCTTTTCTTGTACAGAGGCATTGTTTCAAGTATTTGGATAATCCTTTATATATTGTCATATGTGTTTACAGATTAATGTAAAATGGCTAAACAGTTTGATTTGTGATCAAAGAAAAATTTAAAAAAGGATATATCATTGATCTATAGAATTATCATCTAGATAATATAATATAAAAAGATTACTCACTAGAGCACAAACAATTATTAGTGGATATAATATCCATTGTATTTCCAGAGTATGCTAAATTAAAATTATAATTTTAAAAATTGAAAGTGGACTTTTTCTGTTATGATTGTGAAGAATCTATTAAATGTGTTTTATGTAGAAGGATAATAATGCCACAGGAATTTTATAAATGCAAATAAGAGATGAGAAAGCACTTTGAGCCCCTTGAAAACCATTCTGTGGAATATAAAGTTTTGTTAATTTTCCTTTTTTGCATGGTGTAATATAGTCTATAATATCAGTACTTTTATAAAGGGGTGATGTCTTGAAGTGTTAGTCTAATTACTATGTTAGATGAAGCATCAGTCCTAATTTTCTTTTTCTTCCTGCCTTCCTTTTATGCATGCGCTCTTTCTCTCTCTCCCCCCTCCCTCTCTCTCCCCCATTCTCTCTCATTGACACTCTCAAATCCCCCATTTAAAAAAATAATTTGTAGATAGTTATTGAACCTTCTGAACACTTTCTTGAGATATTAATCGATTGTTAAAGGTTTCCCCAAATTTCAAAATAATCATATGTAACAACCTTTTTTAAAAAGTTGTTGTAAATATAAATCGTTGTTGGAATCATTTCAGTTTAATCTTCTAGTGAACCCAGTTTCCATTCTTAGGTAGGCAGGATTTCATTAGCATCTCCCTCCTGAACACGTGTGTGGGTTTGGAGAAGAGGCATGATTATAGAGAAACTACTCACGATTTGATTCTGATAATTCTTATTTGTCCCTATTGTGAGTGGCTCCTCTAGAGAAGATCTGATAACATTGTTTATAAATTGCTGTAGGGCTTTTCTGGTGGGGGAGAAGGGTTTAAGATCTTTTATTTAGGTAGTTTAGACTTCTCATTACCTCATTGTCTATAAGGAAAACTAGTGCTCATCTAGATTTTGAATAGCCTCTAAAGTTTCAGTGATTAATTACAGTCATTATTTGTGCTACCAGATGTATATAAGGTGAGATCTTTATTTAGTGTTTTAATAACATTTTTATGATTTTGAAGTCATCTTTACATATACTATATTTGTTCAATCATAATACTTCTCTCTCAAAGATGAAATTCAAGTGGATAAACTTTGCTAAAAATTAATGCTGCTGTTCTGGTAAAGTATAAAATTTAGGAAAAATAAATCATGCATAGAATCAAATTTGTGATAGATTATTTTAGGCAGTTTCCTTTGGAACTTATCACAGTACAGTTTATTTTTTCAAATTTTTAGTTTTCCAAGGAAAAGCTGTTTGTCATAAAATTTCATATCCACTGTTACTTAAAAGACTTGTAACAATTCTAAAGATTATGACCTTCTGAAATGAGAACTTTCCTCCTTTAGATTTATTTTTAAATTTTTAATAATATTTTTGAAATCAGTACTAATTGTCATTTTTTTCTCTCACAGCTTCATATTCTCCAATTCAGCCTCATTCTCTAATAAAACATCAACAGATTCCTCTTCATTCACCACCTCCCAAGGTTTCCCATCATCAGCTGATATTACAACAGCAGCAACAGCAAATTCAGCCAATCACACTTCAGAATTCAACTCAAGATCCACCCCCATCCCAGCACTGTATACCACTCCAAAACCATGGCCTTCCTCCAGCTCCCAGCAGTGCTCAGCCACAGCATTGTTCACCAATTCAGAGTCATCCCCCTCCTTTAACGGTATCTCCTAATCAGTCACAGTCAGCACAGCAGTCTGTAGTGGTGTCTCCTCCACCACCTCATTCACCAAGTCAGTCTCCTACTATAATTATTCATCCCCAAGCACTTATTCAGCCACACCCTCTTGTGTCATCAGCTCTTCAGCCAGGGCCAAATTTGCAGCAGTCTGCTGCTAATCAGGTACAACCCACAGCACAACTGAATCTTCCATCCCATCTTCCACATCCAGCTTCCCCTGTTGTACATATTGGCCCAGTTCAGCAGTCTGCTTTGGTGTCCCCAGGTCAGCAGATTGTGTCTCCAACATCACACCAGCAGTATTCAACCCTACAGTCCTCTCCAATCCCAATTGCAACCCCTCCACAGATGTCGACATCTCCACCAGCTCAGATTCCACCACTACCCTTACAGTCTATGCAGTCTTTACAAGTGCAGCCTGAAATTCTATCCCAGGGCCAGGTTTTGGTGCAGAATGCTTTGGTGTCTGAAGAGGAGCTTCCAGCTGCAGAAGCTTTGGTCCAGTTGCCATTTCAGACTCTTCCTCCTCCACAGACTGTTGCGGTAAACCTACAAGTACAACCAGCAGCACCTGTTGATCCACCAGTGGTAAGCCCTTGGAAGCTCTTTGACTTTCTTGATGAACTAAAAGTAAAACTGTTTTCTCCCACACTATGTTCTATTACTAAATATAAATGCCTATTAATTTAAAAAGCTTGGAATTTCCATGTCAGTATTCTGGCAAATGTGATGTATGGGAAAAAATGCTGTTGTTTGTTGTAGTATGATTGCATGCTTGATAATTTGTGATGGTTAAGTCCCTCGTTAATTTTATTACTATTTAAACAAATCCATCTGCTATCTTTACAGAGTTGATTTTTTTTCCCCAAGGGAATGCATTTGAACCAGTGTCATCTGCACAAAGTTTTTTCTCTTAAGGTGATTATCCTTCATAGATCCCTTCTGTTGGCTTGTATGTTCTTAAACGTATGGTTTATCTAGCTAACCCTTTTGGTTGTATGCATTCTGAAGTCCTGGGCCTTGAGGAGCTTTTGTTTCAAGGTGGAGGAGGTATGCATATATATGATGTAATTTTTTTGGCAATATTGTATTTCATAATTAAAACTTTATAAAGGGCTGGGGATTTAGCTCAGTGGTTCCACCGCCTGCCTCGCAAGTGCAAGGTCCCGAGTTCAATCCCCAGTACCAAAAAAAAACCCAAAAAAACAAAACTATAAAAAATTTTGTTCTAGGAAAAAAAGAGTCCCTAAATTAACTGATTTTTAAATTCTACTGTGGGAAAATATATAGTTAAAATATTTCTCATTTTAAAAACTCAAAAATCTCAGTAGATGACTGCTAATACTGAGAATAAAAAAAAAATCTTTTGGGAGAAGTAAACGTTTTGAATAATTGAAATTATAGTGAAATTTATCAGAATAAAACTCCAAAAATGGTTACACGATGCCTAGAAAGAAAGCTATCTTTTTTCAAAAAACAGCCTAAAGGACTTCATAATTTATAATAAAAGTAAAATAAGATCTCTAAATGTTTAGTCAGAATAATCAAATTCATAATTTGTAACAGAAGAATAGTCCTAGAAGAGGTTTGTATTACCTGAAAGGAAATAACCATTAACTCAAAAAAGAAAGGGGTTTCAAAGTTTCTTCATTAATGGGAAGCATTTTGGATCTCAAGTGGCAAATTTATAGGTGTTTTCTTATCATTTTGAGTGATCTTAAATGGGCATAAAGAAATGGAGTTCTACTTCCTAATCCCTTTTAAAAAACAGAGTTTGACAAAAACAAGTGTTAGAATAAATTTGTCATTTAATTATGATATCCAAATTTTCTTTTAATAGATTTTTTTTTTTTTTTTTTGTACTGGGGATTGAACTTGGGACCTTCCGCTTGCAAGGCAGGCGGTGGCACCACTGAGCTAAATTCCCGGTGCCTTCAATGGATTTTTGAAGAGTTTACAGTGAGTAAATAACTCAGGTTTAGAAGATACTCTGTACCTTCAAAGATACCAAATTAAATTTATTTTCTCATTATTTAGTTCAGTGATTTTTTTTTAACAAATAAAGCTTTTTAAAATATTTCTTATGTTTTTCTAAGTTTTGTCACAGGAAACATTTGGATAGAAACACCAGAAATTCAGTACTGTAGCAACTAAATTAAGCTGGGCATGGTGGTGCACACTTATAATCCCAGCACTTGGGAGGCTGAGGCAGGAGGATTACCCTGAGTTCAAGGTCAGCCTGGAATACATGATGAATTCAAGAACCAGTCTGAACTACATACTGAGACCCTATGTCAAAAAAAAACAAAATTAAAAAGAAAAAAAAAAAACTAAATTAGAGCTGAAAATACTTAAGGTTCCATTTTATGCTTCTTGCCCTTCTCTTTTTATAGATTACAAAAAGTTTCTTTTTCTCACCACATTTCTGGAGGACTTTTTTTCCCATGAAATTAATAACTTTCTCTGCTATCACCAATACGGTTATTATGTTTGCTGTAGATGTTCATGTTATCTTTTCTTTCTGTTATATTTCTTTAACATGGTTCTGTTTATTAAATTGCTAGAGTTTCTTTTATCTCTGACTAAATGTAATATTTTTCCATCAAAACATATTTCTTGGCAAATCACACTTTCTTGGTTGTTTCTGATACTTAAAGGTAGAGAGATAAATATTTCTTATGAAATGTGAAACTTTGAAAGATAAGGATGAATTATCAAAGTAAAAATCAGTATTTTTTTAAAGATCTATTAACTTTTTAAAAATTGACATTTGAGTATAAATAAGATGTTGAGGGTAGATAATTTAGAACTAATAAACAAATGTTCCTCAGTTTATTTAGGAAAGGGAGACAAATGGGAATAATGGACTTAATTGAGGTAAGTTTGGCAGTCTTTGTTATTTTTAGAATAGTTATAGTTCTGAGCTAAACAGAAATTATCATGTGCAGTTAATGATCTAATGGGCAAAACCTCTGCATCTTTGCTTGTTTCAATATTTTAGTTCTTGCATTTAGATTTCTTTGTGCTGATCGTGCCTGATGTTTGTGACAGATTGGTGGTTTTTTTTTTTCCTACTTCTTATTTTGCTTTTAATGGGAAATCTGGAAAAAAGTATATATTACTAGCCTTAACTATAAGAATGAAAAGTATTTTACAGTATTCTTTGATGGATTACTGTATTTTTTAAAATGCTGTTTGTGTTATAGGTCTTTTCATCCTTTAAAAACAATATCATTATTTTAAAACATTAATTTTATGCATGATCAAGCTTTAATTCCTTAAAATATAGTGTAGCAGATGTTTGAATAACGTGATAAGAGAGAGTGTCAGCATTTTAAGAAAAGAATGTTCTTCAAATTAAAAATGTCTACTAAAGGAAATGCTGTGTAGATAAAATCAAACTAGTTAATAAAACCATACTTGTCTGATTACCCTGAATTAATTCCCCCAGTACTCAGGCAACTTAATCACTACTAGGAAAAGATTTTGTTAACATCCAGATATTTTTTGGGTTATTTTCTCTCTGTTGGGCATTATCATCTTTTTAAAGTAACGATTACGAACAGATACTAGCAGCTATAACTGTTGCCTTGCTCAATAATGAATCACTGCTTACATTTCTGAGACCCAGAGGTGAGGTAAGGAGTCTCTTGGTGAAATAGTTTTCTAGATCTGTTGTTGTGAGTAGATAACTTTATAAAAATGTTGTCTGTATAGTAGATGATTCAGATCACAGTTTGGACTATCATATTTGACAAAATTATCAATAACACAGTTTTTACATTTAAAAAAAAGAAAGTTTTATATTTAGTAGAGGCTTGGAAAGACTATTTCTATTTGTAAATTTTGTGGCATTGGGGATTGAACCTGGGACTTTCACACTGAGCTTCATTCTCAGCCATTTTTAAATTTTTTGAGATAGGGTCTCACTAAGTCATTAAGTTGTCTAAGCCAGGGTTGAACTTGGGAATCTCCTGCTTCTGTCTGTGCCCAGCGAGACTTCTTTCTTTAAAGCTCTATTGTTTTTTATTATGTATACCTTTATAGATGACACATCATAGTCTTTTATAACACATGGTAGTTGTTTCATGTTTAATTTTATATACTTTCATATTTAATTTTATATACTTCAAATATCAAGCTTATAACAGATAATTAAGGGCTGGGGATTTAGCTCAGTGGCACTGTGCCTGCCTTGCAAACTCAAGGTCCTGAGTTTGACCCCCAGTACCGTAAAAAAACAAACAAAAAACCCAGATAATTAAATGTAACATTAGATGTCTCTTAAAGTTATTTTGTGAATGTTAAGAAATTTTTTCACTTTATTAACACTTATTGGGACATTTATCAGTTTAAATAATTTTTTTGGGTTTTGGTACTGGGGATTGAACTCAGGACCTTGCCATTGCAAGGCAGGTATAGTGCCACTGAGCTAAATCCCTGGCCCTTTAGTTAGTTAGTTAGTTAGTTAATTAACTAATTTATTTATTTATGGTGCTGGGGATTGAACTTGGGCCCTTGTGCTTGCAAGGCAGGCAGCAGAACCACTGAGCCAACTTCCCAGCCCCTAGTTAAATAATTTTAAAAACTCATAATCCTTTTAAGAAGGAAAGTGGATTGTTTTGTGCTTTTTTCAATAATTTATAATCTTGTATAAATAATGGTTGATGACCAGTTAAAATACCTATATTAATCTCTAGAAATGCACTTTGTAAACTAAGCCTTAAGTGTAACAAAACATTGACAAGTCAGCAATTTCTAGTAATACAGCTCTTCTTAGAGTTTTTTTGATTGAATATTCCCTTTTAAGTATAATCTTACAGCTAGATAACAACTAGATAACTACATAACAAGGCAGTTATACTTAGAATCTTTGTGCACACGCATGGAACAATATTAAAGAAACAAAATACTTGCATATGGGTTAGGGAGTGTGTATATATCTGTGTGTAAAGACAGATATTTTCTGTGTACTTAATATTATCATATAAGATTCATTAGATTCTTTAGTAGAACAGAAAAGGAAAGAAAAGAAAATTGTATGTCATTTTTGTAGATACTTGTCATAGTTTAATTTTTATATAAATAATAATAGGGCCAGGAACTGAGCTCAGTAGTACAGTACCTGCCTGACAAGCGCAAGGCCCTGAGTTTGATTCCTGGTACCCAAAATAATGATGTTGATGGTGATGCTGATGGTAATAACAATAGCAGCCTGAGATAGTGTCCTCCTGGCATTGTATTTCCTAATAATATCACATCATTTGGAAATTTACTTGTGTGCTTGTGAAAATTGCTAGTATCTATTTTGATTTATGACAAGTATAAATTAATAGGAATTGTAGTATAATTCTTGAAATATTTGATTATGTAAGAGCCAAACCTTTTTTATTTATTTATTTTATTTTATTTTTCATTTTTTTACAAACCTTTTTAAATTCAAAATTAAAAATGTTTTCACACTTAACTATCATCATTTTGGAAACCTACGATTTTTGGCTTACATAACTGATCCACAGCTTGCTTTCAGTGAAATATTAATTATAATGAAAAACTTCATTTGAGTGACTTAAAAGCTTCCCTTTCTATTTGTCAGAATAGTCATTTTACCTTGTTTTTAAGTTTAATATACTTAGAATTTAACTTTAAAAAATTAAGAATGCCTTATTAAATGTATTTTTGGAAACATTTTAAGGCAATGTGATTTGTCATTGCAGGTTTATCAAGTAGAAGATGTGTGTGAAGAAGAAATGCCAGAGGAGTCTGATGAATGTGTCCGGATGGATAGAACCCCCCCACCTCCCACTTTGTCTCCAGCAGCTATAACTGTGGGGAGAGGAGAGGATTTGACTTCTGAACATCCTTTGTTAGGTAAGAAAATTCCAAAATATAAGGGAATTTTTCTGTTTGTTGTTAGTAATGAGAAATATATTTTCATTAGATGTGGCATTAACCTAATTTGTTACTGTAGTAAATTACAGCAAAATGTAGATGAGAAGTCAACATTTATTTTTATGAAGACTAGTTTATTAAGAATTATTTGTCTTTGTAGAAAATTCTTTTTCTTGTAGAAAATTCTTTAAAGCAGCAAAGCTTAGTAGTTTATAATGTTCAATACCACCCAAATGATAAACATGCTATTTCAAGGCTTTTGGTTTTCAGTGGTTTGTACAGATATATTTTATATGCCTATTCACATTCATGCATCATACTATTTCTAGCTTAAAAATTAGAATAAATCAAGAGTCTATCAAAAAATTTAAATTATATTTTCCAAAAATCTCAAGTCATATTTGATACTCTTCACAATTTCTTGTGGCCCAGAATAATTGATTTTAAAAGTTTAATAGTTATAAGGCCAGGGATTTAGCTCAGTGGTGCTGCTACCTGCCTTGCAATCACAGGGTCCTGAGTGATCCCTGGTACCAAAAAAAAAAAAAAAAGAAAAAAAAAAGTTTCTAATAGTTATATTACTTAAAGTTGAGTATGGTGGTGCATGCCTGTAATTCCAGCACACAAGAGGCTGAGGTAGGAGGATCACTGGGAGTTCAAGGCCAGCCTGAACTACAGAGCAAGACCTTGTCTAAAAAACATCCAAAATAATTACAGTTACAATACTTTAATTTAGCCCAATCCTTGCAAGAGATGTGGATTAAAACATGTCTTCCACTTCAACATTCAAGTTCATATTCACTAGGGAGTCCCAGGGCCATATCAGAGGAGGGAAGAGCCCTGGGACACAAATAGACCCTGCAGTCCTGTGCTCCTGTGGCAGGAGGACCTTGGTCACCTTCCATCCCTGGACCTAGGGCCCCCACTTTTATCTCTTACAGCTGCTCTTGGGGAAAAGCACTGTAGACAGCTAAGCCAGGTAGGAGCATAGGCAGCCAGCCAGCTGGGCCCTTGAGGGAGTTGGTGCAGAGATGAGGACGCCATGCCTGTGGCTGAGGCTGGTGTGCTGGAACCTGGGCCTTGAGCCAAAGATGCAGTGACCAGCCCCCCCCATGCACATCCAGCTGGCTACAAGCAGACTGGCATGAACCAGGTTGGAGGCATAGCAGTGCAGGTCACTGTCAGCAGCAAGAGCTGCCAGGAGACCCTGAATCTGCAATTCTTAGGCCAAGGAGTGCATGGCATGGGCCATGGTGCCACAGCACATCAGGGAACCGGCTGGGACGCCAAGCCCACCAGTCAGCATTCAGACCTTGGCTCACAGAGGCAGCCAGCCTTGCCTCAGGAACAGAGCCCAGAGCTGCCCAGCAGGGACTGTGTTGACCTTGTTGGAGGAGGAGAGCAGAAATGGAAAGGGAGAGGAGAAAAGGAAAAGAGAAGCTGGACCAGAGGAAGAGCCAAGGCCTAGGATCAGTAGGCCCCTGATGGCTACGCTGTGGGCCAAGTTCAAGCTGGGCAGCCACCCCCACCTCTTGACAGCCTTGTGCTGTCCTTCCAGTTCAACATGACATACTGGCAGATAAATCTGTGATTTTGTATACAGAGAAAGAAATTCAAAAAGGAAATAGCCAAACAGAAGCACAGGAAAAGAAGTGATTAGCATAGCAAAGGAATCAAGAAGCGCAGCATAAGACACTAGCAGCACCGGAAATGGCCTCTGTAAACCATTGTGAGTGGGAGGATGGAAGGAAGCGAAGGGGCCACTTCAACTTTGAGGACATTTGTATTCCTGTAGCTATTGGGTTTGCCACAAAACCTTTTCAGTAGTGTGGACTGAACTCAGGGCCTTGGCATTGAATGACATTCCTACCCCTCATGAACAATTTTTAAATTTCGAAACGGTCTCACTGAGACACTTAAGTTGCTCAGGTGATCCTCTGCCTCAGCCTCTGCTGTGCATAAGCTTGCCTGGCTTATTTTTGTTCATTTTGTTTGCAGTACTGGTGATCAGACCCCAGGCCTCATCTAAGCTAGGCAGGTGTTCTATCACTGAGCTACATCCCGCCCTCAGATTTTTATTGATTGTACTTTGTTTTCTTTCTTTCTTTTTTTTTTGGTACCAGGGATCAAACTTGGGTTCTTGCACTTGTGAGAGGTGGCAGAGCCACTGAGCTAAATCCCCAGCCCTTGTTTCTTTTTTAAAAATTAACTTTATTGGTACATTTAAGGTATACAATATAATGGCATTTATCATTAGAAATTTGCAACTTTACATAATCCATCTTGGTTCTTATTTTTTTCCCATTCCCCTGCCCTCCCTTCAACTCCTCCATACCTCCCTATCTACAAAGACTTTGTTTACATTTTTTCATTTTCTCATATTGTATTCCCTTCTTTCCTTTCCTCTACCCCTCCCATTTCCCTTCCCATTTTTCTCTTCTCTTCCTATTTCACATTATCTATTCTACCTTTTAGTCCTTGTTTGCACTTTCAGTCTCTCACACTAGAGAAACTCTTCAGTATTTACATATGTGTGTCATTTATTTCACTTGAGTATTCCCTCAGTGTGTATCCATTTAGCTGTAAGTGTCTCTAATTTCTCATTTTTATGGCTGAGTAGTACTCCATTTTATTAAAAAAAACATTTTCTTTATCCAGTCTCCAGTTGATGGACAGTTTTAGCTATTACAAGTTGTGCTGCTATGAACGTGAGTGCACATATATCACTGTGGTATGATTTCTTTAATTCTTTAGGGAAGATACCCAGCAGGGAAATAGCAGAGTCAAATGGGACTTCCAGTCTTGGTTCTTTGAAGTAGCTCCATATTGATTTCCACAGTGGTTGCACTATTCTACACTCTCACCAGCAGTGGAGCAGGGTTCTTTCTCCACAGCCCAGCCAAGCATCTGTTATCGGTTGATTTCATGATAGCAACCATTCTTTCTGGGGTGAGGTGAAATCTCAGTGTTGTTTTCATTTGCATCTCTCGAATGACCAGTGATGTTGAACATTTTTTCTTATGTTTATTTGCTATTTCTACTTCTTTGTCTGAGAAATGTCTGTTCATTTCAGATGCCCATTTTTGGATTGGGTTTTTAATTTGGGAGGTCTGATTTTTTAAAAGTTTTTTATATATTCTAGATAGTAGACCTTTGTCTGAGGAACAGCTGGTAAAACATTTTTTCTCACATTGTGGGTTGTCTCTCCACACTCTTGGTGGTTTTTCTATCTATGTAGAAGCTTTTTAATAAGAAGAGATCCAACTTGTTGTTTGCTAGTTCACGGGCAGCTGAGGTTTTGGTCATAAAATCTTTTCCTACACCAATGTCTTGAAGATTTCTAACCTCTCTTCCAGCCAGTTTAGTGTTTCTGTTTCAATATTTAGATCTTTAATCCATTTTGATTTTAGTGTAGTGCATGGTGAGAGAATAAGTCTACTTTTAATCTGGCAAGGTGAAACCCAGTTTTTCCAGCACCATTTATTAAAGAGGATATCTTTCCTCCAGTGAGAGTGTTTGGCTCGTTTGTCAAAGATGAGGTGGCTGAGTGTTTCTGGAATTGTTTCTGCATCTTCTAATCTGTTCCACTGGTCCTCAAGTCTGTTTCTTTGCCAGTACCATGCTATTTTTATCACAGTAGCTTTGTAGTAAAGTTTCAAGTTGGGGATTGTGATACCCTCTATCTTGTCTTTATTGCCTAGAATTGCTTTTGCTATTCTAGGCTGAATTTGTTTCTTAGAATTTAAAAATGATGATTTTATTTTCTCTGTGTATAGTTGAAAACTGATGTGATTTGGGAAGAAATTAAGATAAGAATGATATGGACTGTTTACTTGTTTTGGGTTTTTGAGACAGGGTTTCACTATTTACCTCAAGCCAGTCTTGAACTTGCGGAGTATTTTCTTCCTTAGCCTCCCAAAAGCTGGGAGATGTGCTCCACAACAGTCAACAGCACTAGCTGTTTAAATCGCATGAGACTTGTATAGAATTATAATATTTATGTGCATTTATGTATAGATTTTAATAAATGATGTCACTGGTGAACCTTAAAAAAAAAGTTACTATGAGCCCCTAGGAATTTTACTAAAACATTAGTTTAACTGGCAGCCCTATGTCTAGTTCCTAAAAATTGATTTAATGATTTTTAAAAAGTCCAGATGTTTTATTCATATCAAGTATTAGCAAACTACAGCTTACTGTTTAAATTTTTTTTCTGTTGCTTGTTGTATAGTTCAAGTAAGATGGTTTTAAAATATTTGAATAGTTGAAAAACAGAATAGTCATTCGTATTGTGAAAATTATGTGAAACTCATATTTTATTATCCATAAATAAATTCTATAAAATATAACCATGCTCATTTTCTCAAGTGTTATCTATGGCTGCTTATATCTACTAAGTTAGTAGCTGTAGAGATTGTATGGTCCTTTACTGAAAGTTAATCTAAGTCATATCAATATTGCTTCAGGCTTTGTTGTAAATATTGTTTGACTGACTATCTCGTGGCTCTGATGATATTTTGATTAAGAAAAAAATCTCTATGAAAACAAATTGTAATGGGACACTGATTGTCTGGTGCCAAAGCAGTTCTTGCCCTCTGCTCTCTTTATCATGCCACATTCTCTCCCTTCCATTTCTCTTGCTCTTATTTCCTTACTGTTCTGCAATACATAGAAGGAGAAAATCAATTTTCTTTTTTGTCCTCCCCTGGTAATACAAAACATTTGATCGGTAGAAGTATATGAAGTAATGTACAGTAATATTGCCTTTGTTTAATTCAAAATAATACCTGAATAATGATGTGGTTTTTCTATAAAGTGGAATAGTATTCAGCCATAAAGAATGAGAAATTAGAGTCATTCATAGGAAAATGGATGCATATTGAGGTCATACTCTTAAGTGACATAAATAAGTCACACACGTGTAAATACTGAATAATTTCTCTGGTGTGAGAAACTAAAAGTGTAAGTAAGATCCAAATGGTATAATTGACAATGTGAAATAGGAAGAAAGGGTGAAACGTGTAGGGGAAGTGGAAAGGGTAGGAGTAAGGAAATAAGGGAAAAGAAAAAATATGAGAAAACAAAAAATGGAAACAAAGTTTTTGCAAATAGGGAAGGGAGGAGGGCATGAAGATGAAGGGAGGGCAGGGGTATGGGGAAAAAATGAGAACCAAGACCTGTCATGTAAAAGTACAAGATCCCAATGATAAATGTAACTGTCCTGTATACCTAAAATGTACCAATAAATCAATGAGGAAAAAAAAACCCCTGAAAAAACAGATATAAGAAAGTTTACCCAATACTGTCAATTTTTTGTGGTTTCTTTACACTGAAAATGGATTTATGTTGTTGCACATTTCTTGGAGTTTTGATTTGAAAGCAGAAATACAAGTTTGATTGAATGTTAAAGTTGGATTTGATACCAAAGTCAAACATTTTTAAAATGTTGGAGCACAAGAATATCTTTTTTTATTTCCTCAGGAATAGCGTGACTTCCTGTCAAACCACATTCCTGTGGCTAAGTTGTCAACTACAGTGTAGACATTTAAACTTTCTGTAATTTACTTTATACTTGCCACTCTTCCGTAATATTATGAAGTAGTAGTACAGGTTGATTTTTAGAAGTCTTAACAAATGATGAAATAAACTAAGTTGCAAATAGATTTGTTTCTGTCCAGGATTCAGCTTTTATAAATCTGCAAAAGTTCTTTGACAGTAAAGCCATCATGTGAAATCATGGCTTTTGTGCAAGAAATGAGGCCAAGTAGTTACTTGATTGTGTAACACTCTAGTTTTTTCTTATGTTTCTCAAATTTAGAGTATAATAGTTGTGTTTCTGATACTTGTGTTTTTTATCTTAATAGTTTGTTGTAAACTGGCAAATAATAGGTATTAGCTCTTTAAAAAGTCTGTAACTGGGTCAGGGATTTAGCTCAGTGGTTTTGCCACCTGCCTTGCAAGTGCAAGGTCCTGAGTTTAATCCCTGGTAACAAAAACAAAACAAAACAAAACAAAAGGCTGTAACTGATAGCTCTATTGTTAACAAAACTTATAAGATTTATACATATGATATGGAAATTAATTAGAATGTATACCAAGCAATATTTTATGAACAAACTAATTATACTTAAATGTAGTGTCATCATCCATTTTGTGCTGCTATAACAGAATACCTCAGAGTTGGTAATTTATAGTGAACATAAATTTATTTGACTTCTGGTTGTGGAGTCTGGTGATTCTAGGATCTAAGGATCACATCTTGTGAGGGTCTTTTGCTGGATCATAGCGTGACAGAAGGCATTACATGGTTGAGAGCATCTGGACAAGGTGGGGGGGTCAGACTTCCTTTTATAACAAATACATGCTAGTGATAGTGAACCCACTTCTGAGATACAACATTAACCTCTCTTCACCTTTTTTTTTTTTTTTTTTTTTTGGTACTGGGAATCCAATTTGGGTCCTTGCACCTTCAAGGCAGGTGGTGGCACCACTGAGCTAAAGCCCTGCCCCACTCTACCTTTTAAAGGTTCCACCTCAACATTGTGCATTGGGATTAAATTTCCAACATAAATTATAGGATGCACATTCAAGCTATGCAGCTTTAGAGTTCTAAAAAGGAACATGTCTGTAAGTTTTTAAGGGATATTACAACTTTATTTTGTTTCAGTTCCCCATTTATTTTGCCTTCACGAAAGTTTCACTTCATACTTTTATATTTTTAATACTTTATCTCATAGAAGATTTGATATACGAAATACTTTAGTGGAGTTTGTCTGTTTGATAGACTTACTTACAATTTTGTATTTGTTCCTAAAATTAGCAAAATAGTATTTTCTATTTTTAGCAAAAGCTTCTTATACATTGTATGGCCTTCAATAGGTTTTCCAAAATAATTTATATTAGTGTATTTGGTAAAACTAGGTTAATGTGTGACTATAATAAAAACTACATGATAACAATCACATTGGTGTTTCTAGTGGTGACTGTTAATGTTTCCATTCCTTTCTTAAAATTTTCTTTTTCTTTGCTGGGGTTCTTTTTTTCATGTACTAGGCAAGTAAGTGCTCAAGTGCTGTACCACTGTGCTACATCCCCATTGTACATTTCTGTATCTGAGAATATATGCAGATGATTAACATGCCGTCTTATTTTAATTTTTTTGTGGTGCTGAATTGTTTTGTCAGTCCTTTTCACAGTCATAGTGGTGAGGAGTTAATGCAATTTAAAAGCATGATCTCTACAACCCAAGTTTGAGGGTCTATGTCCCATTTCTGCTGCTTATTTGAAGTGTACCTTAATTCAAGGCAAGTAATTAAATCTCTCTGTGTCTTGGGTTTCCTCATCTGTAAGATGGTGATAACATTATCTGTCTATAGGCTAGTTTCAAAGATTAAATGAATGTCAGTATCATGGGGTCAGTATCATCATCATCATCGTCGTCGTCATTATTGAGCTCAGTATAATTATTATGTTTGCACACAAGCCCTTTTGTTTTCCTCAGCCATCTGTACTTGCTGATATTACTAGATCTCTTTACTTTAGAACAAGGAATAAAGGGTTGATCCTACCAAATAGGCAGGTGGCATCTCCACTGCAGGCTGTCAAATCTGTCTTATTGTGGCCCTCAGAATTTGAAGTCAGTGGTTCAGCCAAACATGTTCCACTTGACTGGTATTGCAGTATTTTCCCAAATCAACGTAAACAGTGTCACTGAAGAGTTAAAAAAAATACAAGGAAAATTTGTGTGAGATCTTGGAGGAATCTTACTACTTAAATTTAAGGATAATGACTTGTGTAAATCATTCAAGTTTCTATCCTGTGGATTTATGGTTCTTTTTCATTTTCCAGGAATTTGTCTCCCTACTCATATAATTTAGAATATATAAACAGTATAAACAGGAACATGGGGAATTTAATATCTTGGTAGCTAAAAAAAAAATAAAACCAACTAATCATTATTGTAGTTATTCTTGTGTTGATATTTTAAAACATTTTCACATCTTATGGAGTAGAGTTTTTTAAACAATGTTTGAATAACTTTGAGCAAGTTACCTTCTTCTGTAAAGTGGGGATAATAGTACTTTCTACCTTACATAGTGCAGATTAAATGAGATAATAAAGTTCTTAGGATAGTTTTGTTTTTGTTTTGTTTTTTTTTTGATACAGAGTCTCACTATGTAGTTCAGACTGTCTTTGAACTCACTACGGAACCCAGGCTGACCTGGAACTCACAGTAGTCTTCCTGGCCTAGCCTCCCAAGTGCAGGGGCTACAGCTGTGTGCTACCACACATGGGCTTCTTAGGATGATTTTTTAAAACTCTAGATATTAAAATGAAAAAATGGAAATAAAGTGTTTGTAAATGGGGAGGAGAGGAAGGGGTGAAGGGAGGGCAGGGATAAGGGAAAAAAATGAGAACCAAGACCTGTCATGTAAAGGTACAAGATCCCAATAATGAATGTAACTGTACTGTATACCTAAAATGTACCAGTAAACTCAATAAAAAGAAAAGAAAAAAAACAAAAAAAATAAAACCAAACCTCTAGATATTAAGTATTGTGCAGGCAAAATGCTAAAGATAAAAAATAAAATGTTTGTTTGTTTTTCTTTCCAGAGCAAGTTGAACTACCTGCTGTGGCATCAGTCAGTGCTTCAGTAATTAAATCTCCATCAGATCCCTCACATGTTTCTGTTCCAGCACCTCCACTTTTACTTCCAGCTGCTGCCACAAGGAATAATAGCACGTCTATGCCTGGTAGTGCTCCCAACACGGAAAACAAGCCTCCACAAGCAATTGTCAAACCACAGATCTTGACCCATGTTATTGAAGGCTTTGTGATTCAGGAGGGATTAGAGCCATTTCCTGTAAGTAGCAAGCATATTTGTGGGTTTTAAAAATTATTCACAACTTTATTTTTTAGAATTTCTATTATTGTTTTCTAAGAAAAAGCTTGTAATGTTTACTCTTTATATATTTGGAAATATATTTCTAGAGTCTTATGCTAGCCAGTTAAACATATGAGTAAGGAAAAAATGAACAGAAATTCAGAGGATTGGTTATTGATTTTGTATTTGTTGAGAAAGTAAGAAGTAGGAAGCTCACTCTAATGAAATAAACATTTTTCTTTTTAAGGATACTAAAATGACATTTGAAATGTATTACTTTAAAAATGGTGTTTCTTATGTGTGATACTTTGTGAACTTTAACTTTAGCACAGAAAATATTACCTCCTCAATTCTTAAATACATCTGAAGTTACCCAGTTAATGGGTTATGATTACCAAGTAGCTTTTCCCATTCCTAAACATCATCCTTTAATCAGACTTTTAAAATGCTTTCATGTTCAGCTCAAAGTGAAAGTTTTTTCACTACAAGTCTTTTTTTTTTTTTGAGACGGTCTCACTATGTTTTTGAGACTGAACTCACTAGCCCAAGTTGGTCTCAAACTCACAGTGATCCTCCTGCCTCAGCCTCCCGAGTGCTGGGATTACAGGCGTGTGTCACCATGCCTGGCTTCCACTACAAGTCTTAATGTGAAACTAGTCATAGTGGTAGATAATTTATATGCTAATACCTAGAGATAAACATTTTTCGTTAGGGGGAAAAAATGAAAGACAAGTAGAAATTACAAATAATATTTATTTTGAAGGCCTGTGAATCATTACAATTTTCATATTTGTGGGGGAAATTTTTGCATTTGATAGTTGGTTTCCCAGTCAGTTGTTGTCCCTGTGTTCAGTTTTCCGTGTGCGCATGCTCACATGTGTATATTTATGTGTGTGTGTGTGTGTGTGTGTGTGTGTGTCTGTCAAACTTGGCTCTCCTATAATGCCTATACAATAATGGAGGAACAATCTTTTTTCATTTCTCAGATAAAGTAGTATGTATAACTAAGTTTTTGGATTTGGCTGTACTGCATAGTGACCAGTTTTTTTTTTTCATATTATTCAATGTTTATGTCTTCATTTTGCTTTTCCTGCAGATAGAGATAATACTTTGCTGTTAGGGTTGTGAGAATTAAATATACATATGTTATTCCATGTAGTGCCTGCATTTAATAGTCATTGACATTTATTACCCATTATAACTAGTGACCATTAAAATTTTTATTATTCAGGTTACAAATGAAAATTTGGGAAATTTATAGAACAAATAATTTCCAATAATAGTGTATATAGAGCCAGGGATTTGCCTCAGGGGTTCTGCTGCCCACCTCACAAGTGCAAGGGCCCGAGTTTCATTGATCCTGGTACCACACCCCCTGTAAAGTGTATGTCTATATTCATATAATCAGGGTTATTATTATACATATATATATGTTCCCTACTTTGTTCAGTCCCAATTCTAAAAGGAATATCTGTATATATTTATATATTATTCATATTTTAAATAATTTTCTTAAAAATTCCTATAACTAATTGTATCATATTACATATATATCCAGAAGACTTGATATATTATCAAATTATTTTTTGGAAAGATTAAGTTTTCATCCACTGGAGGTATATGCCCTTAGCAGTACTGAATGTTGTTTTTTTTTCCTAGGAGTAATTTCTATACATTTTACTTGAAGTATGTTAAGTACTTTACGGGAATAAACAAATTAAAAATTATTTAAAAATTTTGTTTGACTTAAAATTTTGATTTTATTTTAAAATTAAATGTTGAAATTTTCAGTAAGCAGTGATTCTCCATGTATGACAGATATTGAAGACTTAGCCAGAATTCTTGAGGAATAAGATGTTCTAATCATTCTCTTTTTCAAATTAGTTGAGGGCTTGCTTAGGAAATCAGTGAATATTTATGGTTTGAATTATTTTTTTCTGAAAATACTTCTAAAATAAGCATGTATGACAGCCAAGTTTACTGAACAGTGAATATTTTGTTGCTTTTCATATTAACAGTGTTTGAGGATTTTCCATTTGTGCTTACAGTGGAATAGGTTGCTAAAGTAGAACTTAGGAGGTTTGAGTTGTAATCTTGATTCTGCTTTTGTAAAGAAATGACTGAAACACTTTGATCATTAGTTAGTACCCTGTCAATACAATGTGTATAGTATTGGCTTGGGATGTGGCTCAGTCATAGAGTGTTTGCCTGACCGACATGTGTGGGGGTCTGGGTTCAATACCTTGCACTAAAAAAGAAAGAAAAAAAAAGTGCTCATCTTTTATTTGTTTTGCATCTATATAGGAAATATGAAAATGCCTGAGGGAAAAAGACTGACCATCAAATAGAATTTAAGAGAATTGCTTAATTGAACAGGGTTTTTTTGTTTGTTTGTTTTTGTACCAGGGATCGAATTCAGGACCTCGTGCTTATGAGGCAGGTGGTGGCACCACTGAGCTAAATCCCCTTTTTTAAAGGTTAAAAAATAATAAAAAGAATTAGGGGTATAGTTCCCTTGCCTACCAAATGCAGGGCCCTTGGTCCAATCCTTAGAACCACAAAAAACAAACAAAAATCCAACAACAGAAAATCTCACCCAACTCCGGAATGTACTGTTAATTACAGTCTTTGCTTTTCATTGTTAGGCTGTATTACTGAAACATTCATAAGTGCAGGATAACCTGATGGCTCATATTAATTCTGAACATAGGAATCACTAAATTTTTAGACTTTTGGTGGGGGGGTCATTGAGGCAAGGTATTCCTTTGTAGTAGGCTGTCCTTGAACCCTCATTGATCCTCCTGCCTCAGTCTCCTGAGTGCTGGGATTACAGGTGTGCACCCCCACACCTGGCTCAATGTTTTTTTTGTTTTTTGTTTTTTTCTGTACCAGGATCAAATTCAGGACCTTGCCCTTGTGAGGCAGGCTCAGTGCCACTAAGCTAAATCCTTAGACCCAAGACTTTAATTTTTAACTATTAGGACACTAGGTTCCATTTGGCAGAAACTTTACAGCATCCACTTTGCTGGTGACTAGAGTTAAAAGTATTTACATCCGGACTGCCTAACCTTTACTTTAGGAATAAAACTTAATGAATGCATTTGATCAATGAACAAGTAAATTATTACAGACACCATTCATTTCAAGAGCTATTTCAGTGAAGTTACTTTGAATATCTGAGATTATTTCATTTCTTTCCATCCTCTCTCTCTTGCAGGTGAGTCGTTCATCTTTGCTAATAGAACAACCTGTGAAAAAAAGGCCTCTTTTGGATAATCAGATGATAAATTCTGTGTGTGTTCAACCAGAGCTACAGAACAATACAAAGCATGCAGATAATTCGTCTGATACAGAAATGGAAGACATGACTGCTGAAGGTTTGTGGGTTTTGACTCTTACTGCTTGAAACATGACATGGACTTTTGTTCACCAATTTTTACTTAGAAACATAAATTTGTATTATCTATATTGCATTATTTGACCAAAACAATCAGAAATCGGAAATCTGACTAGACTTTTATGGGTCTCATTATGTTGTCCAGGCTGACCTTGGACCTGTGGTTCTACTGCGTTTGCCTCCTGAGTAGCTGGAATTATAAACATGCCCTATTGTACTAACCAGATTCTTAATGACCAGATAACTAAAATAGCAAGATATATGCTAATTGGTATAGTATTAGTTTGACTTTTGAAGACTATAGATAGGAAAAATTTCATCATTTATGATAGAGAGTAATTCAGAATTTTTGCATGAGAACAACCAGTTCTCTTTCTTTTTATAAAAACTGGCTTCGGTAGTAAGTGACCATTTTATTGAATAAACTTAAAAATTTAGAGCTGAATCATTTGGCTTTAGATCTTCCATGTTCTAATGTGTGACACCAAGGGTGTACTATAATTATATTAGGGATGTATTCTTTAATTAAGAGGTGTTTATATTTGTTCAAAGAGGAAAATAACACTGTATCTCCTAATGTTGAATTCTTTTTAACATACTTTATTATAATAAAGAATATTTCATAGAAGTAAAATGATTTTCAAAATGACTGAAGGAAAACAAACCAAAAAATAATATATCTTATACTCTGAGTTTGCTATTTAAAAATCAACAAATGTTTGTACAGCCTTTTTGTTTTAGGTTCTGAATGTCTGATTAAAACAAAAACCAGTATGCTGAGGATTTAGCTCAGTGGCACCGCGCCTGCCTCACAAGTACAAGGTCCTGAGTTCAATCCCTGGTACCAAAAAAAACAAAACAAAACAAAAACTAGTTATAGTCTGTAGAAACAACTTTGTGAGACTATTCCTGACTGATTTTGATCATGGCCCCACAACTGATAGAGTTTGTAGCGTAGTTAAGGCTCTACAGTAGTGAATTAATATCTACAAGGAATTATCCTTAGTATATTAGTGTATTTCTTCTAAAATCAGTGTATTCATTTTGCACATATTTATTGAGCCTACATTAATACAGTATGTGCCATGCATTGCTAAATTAAGCAAAGTAACATTCTGGTAAAAGTGAATGTCTGTAGTTTTTATAGCTAAAAAAGCAGGGCACCTCTGTCATTGTTGTTACTTTATGAACTCTTGAAATGTATTTGTTACTGTTTTACTTCTTATTTGAACAGCAGTAAATTTTTATTTTTATTTCTAAAATATATTGGTTCAATTGGATTTTTTTAATTTAAAAGATTGTTACTCCTGAAGTATTTCAAACATACATGCAAGTAGAGAGAATTGTATGCTAATGCCCCATCCAGACTCATCAGCATGACCCAGTCTCCACATTATTTTGCCACATTACCTTCATGCAATCTTTTTGTTTCCTTCCTGAACTCCATTTATGCCAACTCTTCCTCCTTTGGTACATTTCTTCCTTTCATCCTTCTTGCCTTCCCTCCTCTCTCTTCCTCCTTTGATGCTGTTTTTTTTTTTTAGCTGTTTTTATTTTTATTTTTGTTGTTTCTTTTTTTGAGACAAGGTCTCGCTCTGTAGTTACTGCTCTTGAACTCACTATGTTATCCAGGCTGGCCTTGAACTCACTGTGATCCTCTTGCCTCAGCCTCTTGAATACTGGGATTATTTCTGTTTTAAAGAAAAAAAGACAATCCTTTTTCATTTCAGTGGTACATATATCAGTGTGCATCTCTAAAAGATAGGCATTTTCTTACATATGTGTAATTCTGTATCAAATGTAGTGATAATAATAATTCTTTGGTGTCACCTAATAACCCAGTCCATATTCAGATTTCTCCAACCATTTAAAAAACTCCTTCCATAATTATTTTGTTCAAATTGAGAGCCAACCAAGATCTACACTGTGCTGTTTGTTACGAATTTAATTTCATTTAATTCCCAAATCTTGTTTTCACACTATTTTATCTGAGACCATTTCTTATTTGAGATGAAAAATAGTATAGATGAATGTATAGATATTCTTTTTTTCTTGCTTATATCTACACTGAGTATATAAATGAAAGCCCTAGGTTAAAAAGTGCTTGTAATGTGCCTGCTAGTGTACATACACGGGAGGAACATGGAAATCAGCCTTGGAAACTTCACTACTATGCCCTCAGGGTTCATAGTAGTATCGTAAACATGAAGCATGTGCTAGACTGTGCTAGAAACTGAGGAGCATATATAGAAATAAAACATGCCCTTTTCCCTCGAGGAGCTTTTAATTTAGTTTGGAACTAGGGAATCTCCATAACATAATAACTAAGATGAACAAATGCTAAGCTTTCAGTGAAGAAGAATTTAGAATGGGCTGAGATTATTTCCAGTGTGGTTAGTTTCCTATAGAGATGAGATTTGACCTGTGTCTGAGTTTTTGGGCTTTTTTTTAAGCATAGATTTAAGATAAACAGAAGAACAGTTCGGGTTAGCATACCATAGATAAATGCACAAATGGATAAATGCCTTGACTACGTTAAGTAATTTGAGGAGGTGGCAATGAATAGTAGAAGGTGAGATTTGAAGAATAGCCCAAGTTAAAGACTGGCAGAGTCAAATTCTAAAATACTTTCAGATAATAAAGAGTTAGATGTTATCTCGACATGAACAAGTAACATTTTTGTAAACTTTGCTGGTCATGATTTAGAGGTTCAGCATGTCATTGATGCCAGTAGTTTGGTGAGAAGAGACAGAAAGGGAGGGAGACAGACAAATGGTAATTAACAGAACAAGATGTTAGAGTAGGGAAAAAAGGATCTTAAAATGATTATTTCATAGTGGAGATATATTTACATAAAATACACAATTTTAATTATTTCATTTTTTAATTTCCCAATTTTATAAGTTTGTAAGTTCCATGTTTTTAATTACTGTTTACTCCAATGTTTATCAGAGTGAAATGGTGACATGCTTATCTAGTGGCTTTGGTTTTAGTGGTATATACAATTTCCATACAAAAAAACTTCATGGTAAGGATTACTCTTTTTTTTTTTGGTACCGGGGATCAAACTCGGGTCCTTGTGCCTGCAAGGCAGATGGCGGAACCACTGAGCTAAATCCCCAGCCTGAGGAATAGACGCTTAAGGCAGTTGTGGTTAAAAGGTTCTGTCCCTTGTATAGGATTTCAAGGTCAGATAAAATTATATGCTTGACAAAATAAAAAATATTTAGGAGTTATGATATCAGGTCCTAGGGATGTGTTGATGGATGTTCTAACTTGGTCATGTTTGTGACAAAACCATCCCTAAATCATTGGAAAGTACAATTTTTATTTGTTTTGAGATTGTTTCTTCCTCATTGCAAGTAAATAGATGACTTTTGTATATGAAGATAGTCCTGATAATTTTCCTAAAATGACTACTTGGGGGCTGGACATTAGCTGAGAGAGAGTGCCTGCTTGGCGTCTAGGAAGGAGGATGTGGATTTCATCCCCAGCACTGGGGGAAAACAAAAAGTAAGATAAACAAAAAGAATAAAAAATGTCACTTAGCTCATAAGTTCATTTGGATGATGAACTGGAGACCCACCAATGTGAAATGTTCCACAATAGTACTTTTAGTAGGTCTTGCTACTCTCACTTGACTTAGGGTTTGTTTCTGTCTGTCTTTCTATTAAAGCTAGGATAATGTGAGTGCCTGAGCTTACTGAGTACTGCCACTCATGTCTACATTTTACACTCCTGCCTTCATCTTAACCAATTTTCTTTAAACGATTATATAGAAAGGGCACATATGGAGCTCACAGCTAAAAGTTTTAGTTGGATACTTTCTCTTGCATGCTTTATTTGACGAGGCATTAGAATTATGAAGAAAATGGCAATATGTGGTAGATTTAAGAATTTAACAGGTTTCACTGAAGTATTATGTATTACATCTTAGTACTCTTAGTTTTTATATAAAAAGTAGGATATGGAACTGTTATTCTTTTTATTACCTACTGTTGGGCACTTACTTTATTGTCACCTCAATTCTTTGAGAAAGGTCTTATATAAACCTTATTTTATTTATTTTTTTTAAACCCTATTTTATAGATGAGTAAACTGGGTCATGAAGATTGACTAGTTGCTTACACATGATGCTGCTGAGGATTTGAGGATTTAATTTGGAAGATTCTTTGGGTCTTATTTTCATCCTTTGGCCTGAAGAAAGATGTAGGGGTGGAAAACATTCTAATTTAGCAGGAGAGCATTCTGAAAAAAGAATAGGAAGGTGGAAATTATAATTGTGATTTTTAAGACTAAATTATTTTTTATTCAATATACCTAGTGTTACATAATATAGTTATATAATATAGATCTAGTTTCTGTGTTTCCCTTTATATATTCTGCAGATATTTTAGGAACTCAGGTTATTTTATATGCTTCTCTAAAATGAGACATAATAGGGCGGGAGATGTAGCTCAGTGGCATTATGCTTGCCTGGCAAGTGCAAAGTCTTGATTTAGATTTCTGGTACTGGAAAAATATAGTTACATAATATAGTTATATAATATAGATCTAGTTTCTGTGTTTCCCTTTATATATTCTGCAGATATTTTAGGAACTCAGGTTATTTTATATGCTTCTCTAAAATGAGACATAATAGGGCGGGAGATGTAGCTCAGTGGCATTATGCTTGCCTGGCAAGTGCAAAGTCTTGATTTAGATTTCTGGTACTGGAAAAATATAAAGAAAATCAGACATAATAAAAATTCCACCATTTTGAAGTCATCTTCATTTTCTGTTTAGAATTAAGGCTTCCTGCTATGTATCTCCACAACACAACACCAAAATTCATATCCCAGACTGCTGTTTTGAGTGTTTCTTCTGGAGAATAGTGATTATTATTCATCTTTGTTTCTTACACAATGTTTATGAAGTTGTTTGCACATTTTAGAGATGCTGGAATCTTTTTTCCCTTTGTTTCCTTCTTTTTTTAGAGACATTAGAAGAAATGGACAGTGAGTTGCTCAAGTGTGAATTCTGTGGGAAAATGGGATATGCTAATGAATTTTTGCGGTCAAAACGATTCTGCACTATGTCATGTGCCAAAAGGTATTTCTGTGTTCTTGAATTTCTGAAAGAGACAAACCAACAAGCCCTGCAACAAAACCCAGAGTCCCTCATGTGGCTTACCAATTGTCAAACTTAGATATTGTAACACAGAAGAATAAATTAAGCATTATCTGGAGCTACTTTGGTGCCTGTTTTTTGTAACACTTAGAATTAAGTTTTACATCGTAACCTAGTATTGAAGTAACAGTCTGCTGGTGGTAAGAATATGTTTCGAAGAATCCCTGTGAAATGATCAGGATAGTATAGAATAGTACTAGTCCCTGACGCATTGAAATACTATTTGTTTTATCAACTGAATGTTTTGTTTTTGTTTTTGTTTTTGGTACCGGGGATCAAACTCAGGACCTTGTGCTTGCAAGGCAGGTGGCGGAAACACCAAGCTAAATTCCCGGCACATCACCTGATTTTTATAAATATTGAAATACCTGAATTTATTTTGCTTGAAATTTTTTATTTGTTTAAATAATCTCCTTATTTTTTATTTCTGAATGGTACTGCTATAGCATAAGTTCTCCACACTGTTAATATCAGACAGCAAAATGTCTTTTCTAGATTAATATTTTTTTCAGTAACTATTATTGTAGTCAAAAAAGCAAAAGAAATGTTAAATCTCTTCATTAAGCTTATAGCTCCTTAGTTTACATTCTTAAAAACTTTTTGTGGTTCAGATATAAATCTCAGTGTTACAGATATTTATGAGTAAATTTGACGTGTAACACAGGTTGATTATTTTGAAATTCGTTCTGTTTTAAAAAGAAATTAGTCTCAAAGAATTTATAAGATTTTAATTGTATACATCTGTGAATTTCTTCTTTGAACATTATATTTTATATGGCTACCACCAAAATATACATAATAAAACTTAAATGAAAGTAAATTTTTTTGAAAAATGAGTTCATTGTTTCAGTTATCAATCTGTTATTCAAATATTCTTTCATGTTGTTAGAACTATAATAAAATTATATTGAACTCATGTTTTAACTAGAATTTTGTTTGCATATATTCAAGAAAAATAATGCCTTTCTGATACCAACTGATTTAAAACTCTTAAAACCAAAACCCTTGAGTCTATAGACTGTCTTTCGGGATATTTTAAAATGCTTTTTTTTTTTTTCAGGTACTAAGGATCAAACTCGGGTCCTTGTGCTTACAAGGCAGTGGTGGCACCACTGAGCTAAATCCCCGCCCTTTAAGCTTCTTGTCTACAACTGTTTCAGGATATTTAATGCTACCATTACTCTTCTTGCAGGGATAATTGCTGAATTGTCACATTATACCTTTAGATGAGCTTCTTTAGATGGTTAGCAGCCCTAAAACGGAAATGTGGGTGAGAGAGCGAGAATAAGAGGATAAATTAGATCTTGGAAAAACTGCTATTATAGCTATTTGAATTTAGCTGTTGGGTTTTGGAGAACTAAGTATTTATGGACTAAATATCTACTATAAAACTAGTCTTCTTAGAAAATAAAGATATTTTATCAGTTGATATAATTAGAAATAAAAAAATCTATATTGCTGAGCCCAGACATGAACACATAATAAACATAGCATGGGCTGTTGAATTGTTTTAGGGTAAAATGAAGTGGCCATCAAGATATTTTTATATTTCTACAGGGGAAAATAGCCTAGTCATTCTTGTAGGATTCCTTATTGCCACCTCTTTATATTTTCATAAAACATAGGAGAGGAAAATTTATTTTGGTATCTGGCTTTTAGTCTTAGCAAAAGCAAACTTAATTGGGATCTTTTTTTTCTTAGAGAAGAAGAATTTTGAAAATAAAAACGTATAGAAGAAATAAAAAAATTCAGGTGAATTTCAGAAGTTTATAGAATACTTGTTGTTTCTTCAATAAAACAGCTTAATGTTCATTTTCCCATTATTTTTCACTGGGCTAAAGAATAAGGGTGGGGCCAAGGATATAGCTTAGTGGTTCCACCACCTGCCTCACTAGCATAAGGTCCTGAGTTCCATCCCTGGTACCAAAAAGAAAAAAATAAGGGTGTTTGAGAGACTACTTTCATGCAGAGTTGAGTTTTAAACATTATTTTGCCTAAAATTAGCATTTCAATGCTTTCTAGAAGAAATATTTTATAAACTTTATTTCATAGCATAACTACCAAATCTGTATAGAAATTCACAAAATTAGGACTGGCAATTGTTTTGTAAAGAATTTATGAATTATGTGTAAATCTCTTCTAATATTTAATAAAATTTTATTTTAGCCTAACAAAATATAGTATAGAGGAGTCTCATGTGTTAAAAATAAAGAAACTGCATATATTTCTCTTAGTTTTTCTACAGCTTTTCAGAAATTTCTTAAGAGTCTTCTCTTATTCTTCTTTCTAGGAAAATGCATCCAGGTCAAGTCCTTCTCATTACTTATATTTCACACAGCCTTTGAGTTAAGGATGGCTTTAAATTTTATAGATGATTAGAAAAAATTAAAAGGAATAATATTTCATGGTACATAAAAGTTATGTGAAATTCAGATTTAAGTATCTGAAAACACTAGCATAGCCATGGTCATTCAGTATTTTCTATGGCCATTTTCACATTACATTGACAGAGTTGAATAGTTATGAAAGAAACTTTTGTGGCTCACAAAACCTGAAGTACTTACTATGTGGTCCTGTATAGGAAAAGTTTGCTAAACCTTATTCTAGGGCTTTGAAACCAACTAGATGGCATAGGATTCTTTTAAGATGTTGTCGTGCCTTATAAACAATCTGTGTTTTAAAAAAAATACAGTATTAGGGGGTCTGTTTTGATAAAATAATTTTTAAACCAACCTTAAAAAATTACGTACTTCTGAATTTCCTGAATAGTGGAAGCAATGAATTTCTATGTATAACTTTGTTTTCACTGTTTATCTTTTTATAGTGAGAGTGGGATTGGGATTAAACTCATAGCCTTATACATGTTAGGCAAGAGCTCTGCCATTGAGCTACATCCCAAGCCCTTTCAGTTTTTTATTTTGAAACAAGGTCTTGCTAAGTTGCCCACGCTGGGCTCGAAATTGTGATCCTCTTGCTTCAACTTCCCGAGTAGCTAGGATTAACAGGTGCATCATTTTGCTGGGCTCATTCTTTGATGGTAGTAATGCTTGAGAAATCTTTTTTACTAGCTGCATAAGATCTTCTCTGCTACATTGGTTTCTTTTTTATTAATCTCTCTTCAGAAATTATCAGTCTGTTTGAATAGACATGCTAAATATTTATTATCAAAATTTTCTTCTAGAACCCTGAATTTTTTTGCTGTTCTGAAAATTAGTTATACTCTGTATTTTGCAGGAAAAAAAATCACTGTTCTGTCGTAACTAGGAGAAAATATCAGTACTTTGTTATAGGTGTCCAGTATTACATTGAGATATATAGTATGATATATACACAGAGGCCATTTTTTATCTGTAGCACAAATAAATCCACTGAACAATATGAATTTGAGGTATTATAGTCCTAAATCAAGAATAAAACAATTACTGACTTATAATTGCAAAGTTGAAATTAGATACTATGTATTTTTAATGTGTATCTTTTGATATGTTTTCTCATTTGAATTTCTAGGTACAATGTTAGCTGTTCTAAAAAATTTGCACTTAGTCGTTGGAATCGAAAGCCCGATAATCAAAGTCTTGGGCATCGTGGCCGTCGTCCAAGTGGCCCTGAAGGGGCAGCAAGAGAACATATCCTTAGGCAGGTCTGTAGAAACGTTGCTTCAATGTACAGTACCCTTTTCAGAAATGCAAGGAAAGTACATGCTGTATTTTACTTGTACTACATTTTCCAGCTTCCAATTACTTATCCATCTGCAGAAGAAGACTTGGCTTCTCATGAAGATTCTGTGCCATCTGCTATGACAACTCGTCTGCGCAGGCAGAGTGAGCGGGAAAGAGAACGTGAGCTTCGTGATGTAAGAATTAGGAAAATGCCTGAGAACAGTGACTTGCTGCCAGTTTCCCAGACAGAGCCCTCTATATGGACAGTTGATGATGTCTGGGCCTTCATCCATTCTTTGCCTGGTAATAATTCACTACTTTGGCCTTAATGTTATTATTTGTTCACACTCTAGAATGATGTTAAATCCATCCACGCTTTTTTTCACAAACAGGCTAGAGAAGTTCTGTATATATGTATAAGTTAAATGGCATTTGCTATAATGTGATCTATTTCCTCTTGCTTATTCCCTCAGCACAACTGGGTATTTTTTCATACCCCCCAAGTCGATAAAAACTGACTAGTCTGCTTCTGCTGTGACACCCCAGCTGGTGAAGATATTAAAGTGTTCTCTTCTCTTCAGTCTGATTTCTCTCGAGAGGTCAGTAGAGAGATTGAATCAGGCACTTCTTCCCTTCTGCTCTTCTATTTTTCTATTTCTTCTTTATTCCTTAAACTTTTTTTTAAAAAAGTGAAATAAGATATATATATATTTCTACATTTTTGACAGTTAACACCATATAGAATATGGTAAAATTCTGATTTTTTTTAAATGAAGCTGGTTCTTTTAAAAGAAGCTAGTACATTCTTTATATTCTTTTTAGTAAATATCAGGAGCACATCTGAAATTTTATTTTTCAAGTAGAAGCTAAAATTCAGTTATATTCATTCTGATACTGAGAATAACTTTATTTACATTTTCCTGTTCTGCTCTCATTTTGGTACTCTTTTCATCCAGTTAAGTCTCTTTTTTTCTTTAAAGCAACAAAAATCTTCATATCCACTTTCTCCGGGGAGCTAGCAACTAAAGGTATACCTTTGCTCATAACAAGATTCAAATTGGTTATATATGTTAAGACAGTATATTTCTTTTAAATCAGCGAATCTTATTCATTTTGTGATCTTCAGAATATGGAAAATGAGATTTTAAAATTTGTTCCTTTTTTTTTCAGTATATGTGCTGCCAAAGTGAGCACTGTTCCATTTGGTTTTATAAATATATCATTTCTCATGATTCAAGCTTTCTAGAAAATAAACTCCATTTGACTTATCTACCAAACTTTTAAAAATTAAGGTAGTTATTAGCTATTGTTATCTTTCTGTGAAGGTGGCCAAAATTTCATAAGCAAACTTAGATCTAATGTGCTATGCAAGAAAATATATGTAGAAAAACTAGTTTTTAAAAAATGCCTATTTTAACTCATACAGAACTCTCTGAAATTTTGTTATTTTATCAGTATGCTTCTATAAATGTTAAATTAAAAAATTAAGATACATATGGTCACTTTTAAGGAAAGATGGAGTTGTTTAAAGGATGTATGTATCTTTTTTGTGTGTGTGGTATTCAGGATTGATCCCAGGGCCTTTGCACTGAGCTACATTTTCAGCTTCCATCCACTCCCCTGTGTTTTTTTGGAGACAGGGCCTAGGCTGGGCTTGATTTTGTGATCTTCCTGTCCCAACCTGTCAGAGTGCTGGGGTTATAGGAGGTGTGGCACTACACCCAAGAAAGGGAGGTATACTTTCTTCACATGAAGATACTTAAGCATATGCCTAAGAAAACTAAGCTCAAACTTCATTGTCAACCATGTGAGTTTAGATCTGCTTTAGAATTGATGTGTTAGAGGATGGTGAGTGGTTATTGTTTAATATTTAATAAAACAATACTTGGTTCTAAGCCAGTATAGCTATCTTGAGAATTAACAGTGGAGTCTACTGTTCACCAGGTTCTGGACTTCAGTTCTGTCATCTTCAGTAGTCTGTCTTAAAGTAGGGCATTACATCTGTTTGTTTCGTTTCTTATTTGGTGAAATATTTTCTTTTAAAAGGAGAGTTGGTTTATATCCTGAGGAAATTATTTGTCCAAATAATAACAAGCAGTAGATGCTACTGATTGTTCTATTTCTTTGTGTGGAGTTTTTTTAGGACTAATTTTCCCTAGCATCTATTTGCCCTGTGGCTTCTTTTGGCTACTTTATTAGAATAAAGGCTAACCCTTCGTCTCATTCTTGCTTCATTTGATTAAAAAAAAAGAAATTCAATTTATATTTGCTAAAATTAAGAACTTTGTCTTTTTTGATTTCACCTAGACCAGTGGTGGAGAACATTTTAGAGCTTTCAGTGATACAGATAGCCTGCTGCAACATGCGTACCATAGGTTCACCACCACTGACAGTTTTGTTGTAAGTTGCTTGGGGAACATTATATAGCATTAAAAGCAGACTGCTTTATAATTTAAAATTGCTTGGTACTGTTTTCCAATCTAAACTCTTTTTCTTTACCATTGAAATAGTATTTCCAAACTTCTTTGACAAGCCAAATAATGTTTATTTGTGTGATAAGTTATCTGGCTTTCTCAAAATTTTTCTCTGAATAATACCTGTAGCTTAAGGTAAATTTTTTTTCTGTTGTCTGGACTTTTGTAAATTTCCTTCTGAGCGTCTTTTAGCTCATTCATTACTGTTTATTTTTGCTGAGTTGTCTTTTTCTCAAGCTTTATTCATATGAACAAACTTACAAATTTTGTGATGTTTTGTATATGTTTTCCAATTAGGATAGACTTCCTTCCCTCTCTTATCAGGGCATCTATATTTACTCCTAAGGTTTTCTCTTCTCTTTGTATATCGTCTCATCAGGACTGTGTTAGAACTTGTATGTGGTACAACTACATCTCAGACCTCTTAGAAGAGTGAAAAATTATCCTTATAACTTTTGGTGCATTAAAGAGTTCTCTATCAAGGCATGGCAGGGCATACTTGTAATCCCAGCTACTCAGAAGGTTGAAGCAGGAGGATTGCTTGAGACTGGCCTGAGCAATTTATAAAGTCTTTATCTCAAAAAATAGCTTGGTGAGCCAGGGATTTAGCTCAGTGGAAAATAGCTCAGTGGGAAGGTCCTGGGTTCAGTCTCTATGACCGATAGGATGGATGGATGGATGAATGGATGGGTAGGTAGGTATCAGAAATAGCTCAGTGGTAGTGTGCCACTTGGTTCAAACCTCAGTACCACTGAAAAAAAGAAAGAGAAAAATAAAAAGTAAAAAAATCTCTACATAAACAATTCTATTCAATTAAATGAGGGTTATCTTTTGTAACTTCATATGGTGAAGTGCCTTTTGTAAAAGTTTTTCTGTATGTATTGATCTCTAAATCTATAGATTTGATTTCTTTGTAGGCATATAAAGTTTAGAGAATTGTATAGTCTACAGTACTGATTGGCAAGTGGTCTTTTCACCAGGCTTCCTGAATCAGTTTTTGTACAGGGCATGTTTATTTTGGGTTTAGCTGGAGAACTGAATACTTGCAAAATTGAGCTGGTAGCTGTGTACAGAGAGGTCAACACCTACACTGAGAGAGCAACACCCTCGGTACTGGTGAGGTGAAGCCATCCAGCCTGACTGGTTGCTTCAGTGGTGTATGTTTTGGACATGTTGTTGGGCTCCAGCCATCTACAGAAGTAGATACTGATGTCAGAAACTCACAGAACTTAGCTTAGTATACCTTGAGCGCTTACATTTAAATATTTTTTTTCCAATGAAAGCATACTTGTTTCTGACACCTGTAGTTACCTTAGAAAAGTTGTAATTAAAATTCTGAGGGTATTGCATTCCTATTTAATCATGCTGTTTCCCAAAACATTTTTTTGTTCATTATCTTGTGAATACATTTACTGTCCCCTATAAGAAGACATCTCAAGAAGAATCTCAAGAAAAGAGCACATTATGTTTTCCTTGTGGAGAACTCCTTATTTCTATTCCCAAATGTAGCTCTTGTGGCCCTCATTATTTCTCATTGCTCCTGTTTTCTGAATCTTAGTAAGTCCTGTCCTGTCTTTCTCTACTTACCTTTCCTGTGTTCTTGCAAGTAAGACTGAAGAGAAGAACATTCGTTCTTCCATAAAAAGGATGAAATCACAACTAGATGCAAGATTAGTCAGTTTTGTCTGCCCAGTTTTATTGAGAGCTACCTCTGGGAAAAGAAAAGGGACTTTTCTATGGTGAGTAATATCATTTCATCTGTATAGTCTCTTTTATATGGTAAATGGACAAAAATCACTAGTTTTGTAAGTTTATGGAAATGTCAATTTTTAAAAGTCTGAGAAATTTTTTAAATAGAGGGAACAGTAAAAATACAAATAAGAGAAGATATTGGAAAAGAAATAACCAAGAGAATAGGTAGCTATACAGCTCAACACAGGAAAAAAATGTATTAGTTGTATAAATATTGCCTCTATAGATTATATTTTTGTTCACTGTTCATTTGTTCACGTCTAGTCTTCACTTATTCTTAAGTGTGTTCTACAGTAGTGCTTTGTGTTTGGTACCGCAGTTATAAGAGACATCATTTTTTACAAATGCAAAGATTTGCAAGGGAAGCAGATAAACATTCTAGCAAAATTGTGATATTCAAAGATGTAATGTATCTTTTTCTTCATGTTTTCCCTTAGAATGCTGAGTTTGATAAAACAGATTTTTAGAAGCTTCCATGTTTTTGCATTCTCCTAATTCAGCTCAAGTCATTACCTAATCTATTGGTTTCTTTACTTTAGTGGAGAAGTTATGGAGTAAGCTGGGTTTGCCAAAATTTTAGTAGACAGTAAAAATAGGTTTAGATAGTACTAGTACTCTTCTTACCTTCTAAAGCACACTTTTTTTTTTTTTTTTTTTTT